TATTTTGCTACTGGTATTGGAGAGTGTATGGAATCGGTGTCAAAATTTTGACATTTTCTGATAAGCCGTCGGGTTGGGGGTAAACTTACACCAGACTCCGAATCATTTAAAAAAAAGCTATTCTGGGTTGACAAAAATCTCACTCCGTCTCTAGATGAAGAAAATTTTATATCCGACTTCTGAACTCTAATTTACTTGTCAGAACTCTAAGAAAAAGAGTGAACTGCTGAAAATGTGGACGAAGTGGTTGCTCATCTATACATGTGCTGTAACCGTAGTTGAGCACTGCGCTTACAGCAATATCGGCAGACAATTGTGATGGCCTTCAACCATATTTAAGGTACTGAAAAATTCAAAATGGATCGGTACATTGGTTGTGGAGAAATGCGACAACAACAATAATTTAAAAAACTATTCACGGGTCCACTTCGTCCCAATAAGAATATCTGATGCGTCGTCTACTTTTCCAAACTGCTTACGAACGCATTGCTTAGAGAAATTGGCTGGTGATTATGGTCTCGAATCAGTAAACTAGTAACGAATGTGATCGTTTTTGTATTCGCGATTACACTTTGGTCGAATTGTATCTGGTTGTGAGTAGTGTACTTAGTTATCTAACTTATTCGTGAATTTGCAAAATGTTCAACAACTGTAAAATCCAGTAAAGTTATGGTTAGGGTTGAATATTGAGCAACTGAAAATATTTATTTAAATTTTAGATAATTACCGCTATATTTAATTCGACTAAGTTGGTCTAATGGTCTAAGGTAGAGATGTACCGATACCCACGAGAATTGCCGATACCGATATTTCAAAAAGCCGATAAACTGTATACATTTACCATCTTGATTGTGAGGAAGAGACAGAAAAAAATTGTTAGTACGTATGCAAAGGTACGTTTCAACACATTCATTAAACAAATTATGGTAGTTTCTACAGACGTTTTGGTACGCACAGGCGCAAAGAATCGGGTGTTTGATCTGCGTAACGTATAAACTTGTAGTTATATAGGTAAATTAAAATGCTGCAGTACCCTACAGTAATTTAGTCTCAAGCTGGGTGGCAAATAAAGGTGCTACATATTTATTACCGGTAAGTGTTGAACCGGGAAACAAATTGTTGTGTGGAGCGGTGCAATATTAAGTATATTGGAATACTAAAAATTCAATTACCAGTTGAGACGCTTTGATCATGGCGTCAGGAAATGGTTCATCCAGCACCAGTACAAGTAGCAAAACTGGAATAGATGCAGAAGACATTTTATCACTGAAAACCTTGACTGATGGAATTTCGGAACTAGAACAGCCCAGAGCTGAAGGTGGCAAGCATCCACAGAAAACTGCTATTGTCAAGATTTCTGTAGGTGATAAAATCAAGGCTCAGTTTGTTGAAATGCTGGACTTCCTAAAGAGAAGCATTGCAAGGTACAGAGGGCTACTTTTATGCTGTGATTAAAAACAGTAAGAATTTTAATATTTTATTTAAACGCCATATTACCAGAAAACGTAATAATACCAGTTTCTACCCGAGGGAGTGGGCGTGACTCAGTGGCCAGCCCGGTCGGTATTCTTGTACGTAACACTGAACTGGAAATACATGGAACGATCTTCTCTCTAGTTTTGCGTTGTCGCAGGGCGGGACAATTTGATCGCCGCCATCTTTGCGTTTATGCTTCCTAAGTTTCTTCGTGTTGCATCGGGTTTTGGCCAGTTTTTCGTCTATTTCACTACCCAGTGCGTCACATATGGATCTATATGCGACTTTTTGTGGGTATTCAAGCATAATTATACTTCAGTTGGGAATTTATAGTCTGATGTGGATCTCGTTCTTGAAAAAAATTGGTTGTTCAGGCGAATATACATTAGATATGAGTGGATACAATTGTTTTTGCTTTATATCATAAAAATGCAATAACCTCCACGGGGAAGCTTCCACCTACGAATTCGGCAGAGGGCGAAGCGCAGTTTAGTTGGTACTCCCGTAGTCTGTGAACCAGGTTAGGCCATAACTTTATTCCGACTTTCCTCATTAGTCATTCTAGTTTTATTACGAGTTCGGGAATTGTGTGTGTGTTAGCCAAGTGAATATATCATGTGTCCATGGGATTCTGCCTTTTACACAACTTGGTGTAGAGTAAGCGAACAATATTAGTTACCTCCATATTGGTATACGCACTTATGAAGCGCTCTTTAGTTCTATTTATATGTACAGCTCGGATACTACGGAACCAGGCCACGCAACGATAATGAGATCACTACGCAAAATACTTAAGTCGATAAAATAAGGCTAAATACAGGTAAATGGGGAAGCGATTCCGATAAGCCAGCTTGGCTAATGTTTTGTGGTCGTTTATGTTCGCTTTTGACTGATACGTTGGCCATATTATTAACTCACGGCTTTCGCAAATTTATAAAACTGCCAAAATTAGCACCGTATGGGGGGCTGGGATATACTAGCGTTTGATACATAATGAGACACGAATCAAGATCAGGAGAATATGCGAGAAAAATCGACGCAAAATGATTTCTATCTAACCCCATAAAAAATGCATTACGCTTCTCGCAAAAGTTGGAAGTCTATCGTCAAAACGAGAGAGCCTTCAAATGGTCCCGCGGAAACGAGAGAGGAGCGCACTCTATTTATATATCTCTGTGGTACGTTATCACCCATTATACTATGAGCAAAGGTTCCATTACATTTGCACCCACGTACATTTGCACCCGTAATTTGTATACACGACAATTGCACCTGTATACTATTGCACCTATGGAAATTTTTTTTACGGATATTTGAACCCATACTAACCCTAACCCATGGAATTTAGCACCCGCATATAGATTGAACCCGCGGATATACCGGTGCAAATGTATGGGTTCAAATGTACGTGGGTGCAAATGTACGATCACCTTGGCAAGTGTTAATGAAGCAGTGAATACAGCGTAGGTGAACTAAATTATTTTTAAAAATATTCTCGATCAGATCAAAGAGTGGAATGGTTCAATTATTATTGCACCCAGGGCAATTGCGGCTGCATACTTTTGCACACACTGACATTTGCACCCATGGAAATGTGCACCCACGGACATTTACACCCATGGACATTTGCTCCCAGGGACATGTTTACTCGCGTACATTTGCGCCCACAGAACTTTGCACCCACGGTCATTTGAACTCGTGTAATTTGCACCCACATACAATTGCACCCGCGGACATTTGCCCCCACATGCATATGCACATGCGTAAATTTGCACCCGCGGACATTTGGACTCACGTACTTTTGCAGCCGTATACATTTGCACTCACATACGAGGTGCGGCTAAAAAGAAACGGGACTGACGTCACAGATTGCGCAACACGATCAACCATCGGTAATCAACACTTTTGCAGTGTGGCGTAGTATGTGTTCTTTGTTTAACAGCTGTTTTGACACAATATCGCAATTATTTTTGTTTTTCAGGATCCATAAGTGAATGTGATAAATTTATTGTTGAAAAAAAAATGCTGTGCGAGGTCTGATTGAGTTTTTTGGCGATAGGGGGTTCAATTAAAGAATGACGACTGAGCAAAGAATTAACATTAAATTTTGTGTCAAACTTGGAAAAAACGGCGACTGAGACTTTGCAGATGTTGCGTGATGTTTATGGAGATTCTTCCATGTCCAGAACAAGAGTTTTTGAATGGCACAAGCGATTTGTGGAAGGCAGGGAGGATGTGGAGGATGATCCGAGGTCAGGGAGGCCTTGCACTTCCAGTACTGATACCAACATCGAAAAGGTTTGGCAGTTGGTTCGCAGTGACCGTCGCTTAACAATTCGCGTCATTGCCAACGAAATTGGGATGGACAAAGAAACGGTCCGCACCATTTTGGTTGACACTTTGGGAATGCGAAAGGTGTGTGCCAAAATGATGCCAAAGGCTCTTGAGTTGACTGAGGAACAGAAAGCTCAACGATTGAATGCATGCCGAGTTGACAAGCATTTATCCAAGTTTGACACAAAATTTAATGTTAATTCTTTGCTCAGTCGTCATTCTTTAATTGAACCCCCTATCGCCAAAAAATTCCATCAGACCTCGCACAGCATCATTTTTTCAACAAGAAATTTATCACATTCACTTATGGATCCTGAAAAGCAAAAATAATTGCGATATTGTGTCAAAACAGCTGTTAAACAAAGAACACATACTACGCCACACTGCAAAAGTGTTGATTACCGATGGTTGATCGTGTTGCGCAATCTGTGACGTCAGTCCCGTTTCTTTTTAGCCGCACCTCGTATAATTGCACCCGCATTCATTTGCACATGTGAACATTAGTACCCGCGAATATTTGCATTTATGGACATTTGCACCCTTGGAATTTTTCGACCGCAATCATTTACACCAATGCATACCAGTCTTTGAGGCTAAAAGAGGTTTTATTGCCCTTTGCGCCAAAATACGGACCTCTCAATGTTATGAATAGTAATGAAGACGAACTCGCCGCAAACCCGAACGCGACCAATTTGGGTTTCCATCCACTAACTCAGATCGAACAAACCTTAAAACAGGCGGAAAACGACTCGCATCGGTTTAGAAACCATTTTGACGCAACAAAGAGTAGGAAAGCGTCGTAAAAAAGTTGTTCCATATGAAATTATGAATCATGCTTTCGCCAAGTCGATCGTATCTCGCTCTATTTCTATCTCTTATCCTTTCCCGAAACACGGCTATCTTGTCTTGTATAATTGGTTCAACACTGACCCGATTCATTTATCTACGACTTGTTTTCATTGCCTTGCATCGTCTTCTAACCACCGTAAATTCGACCACGTTTGCGTTATTTCATTGAAAGAAAATGACTGAGAAAAGTGGGACAGGATTATAATTCGCAATGACTGTAAAAACGTGGCCAGAAATACCTCACCAGAAATACAGGCTTCTTAAAACTTTTAAGGTTTGTCTGAAACTCAAATACCCACCGCTCGTTCGCAATGAATAGAAAATGGCTCATTCAATGTTATTTGTGATAGTCTTGTTAGTCAGTCAGACCATATATTTCAATACGTATACAAGAAAATGAAGCGTCATACCGACATTTAAATTTTACTTATAAGAGGGAGAACTACTCCAACGACGAATTGAGAAACTGCGTTACAAAGCTGTAATTAACATGGAGTGATATACACAAATACTTGCTGTTTAAAGCGGTTTATTTTTATTAACATCGCAATAAAAATAAATGATCAAGAACGATGATTACAATTCAAGAAAAAGGGGTATGGAATGGACTAAAGCTAATATTATTTTTATATTGGCAGAGATTGCTCGATTCAATTCGCGCAAACACTCATTTTATCTGTCCCCCCCCATACCTTCCCCTCCAAGATCTTATTATGAAATATTGCTGCATCAATATTGAATTTAAATTCGACTCCAACCAAAGATTTTTCATTTACATTTCACAATTAATTATGCAGGCAAACAAATATCGGTCAGAGCTCATTCTCTGCGAACAAACACTAGGTCCAGTGGCGGAGGAGTAAAAACAACGCCCTCTATGCCATCATCCAAGGACGGTATCTTTGTGTCATCACGCACAGAGATGTCAAAATTTTGAATAACTGTTACTAACAGGATGAACAGCTCCATTTGTGCCAGTTGTTCGCCAATGCAATCGCGTTTACCAATGGAAAATGGCATCCAATATTTTGATTTCTGGAAACTTCCATCCTCTGGATCGATAAATCTTTCCGGACAAAATTTTTCTGGGTCAGGGAAGCACTTGGGATCGTTATGAACTGCCGACGGAAGTACTCGAATCTGGTAAAAATAAAAGAGTAAAAATGAATGTGACATGCCGAGATAAAAACGTAGATGTGGCGCCAAAATTGATAACAGCTAGGAATCTCATATTGCGAAGGCTGAACATCTTCTCTCATTAAAAAAATCGCGAAAACCCAATCAAAATTCATAAGCAAAGTTCACCTGTGTATCTTTTGGTAATTTGTATCCATTGACAACTACTCCGTCTTCAACGGTTTGCCTAAGGCAGGTTTTGACAAGAGTGCATCGACGCATCAGTTCGTGATAAAATGCCAACGTTCGCGGCATATTCTTACGATCAGCTAAGGAAACTTTCCTGTCACAACCTGCAAAAAGATTGCGTCCGCATCTAAAAGGCTGGAGCTTGGGAGCGCCATATTGCTAATTCTTTATGAATTATTTAATACATTCCCAATATATCTGCTAGGTATGTTTCTTTGTCAAAAACAAACAGCTTCGGTGTATACTACCCTGGCAATGACCAATTAGGAAGAAGTCATATACCAATTGAAATTTTGTCTTACACTTGAGACATGTTTGACTCGTGGTTGTGAACATTGGCTCGTTTTGAGGTTTTAGTTGCTATATGTCTGGTTTTAGTTTTATTTTCAGGCATTACCTCCATGCTGATTTCGCCTTCTATAAAGTTTTGGTCTAGCTGAGCTAAACAAAAAGTTGTCTCCAAAATGCTGGGATAAACTAGGCTAAAGTTAACTATCAGAACTTTTGAATTACAGACGATTAAATATTTTGAAATCAAAAGAATGTTTATCAAAATATATACCAACTATCAACTTGTATGCGCTAACTCGAGAAAGCACTCGCAACATAATCAACAAAAATTTTGCTTTGGTCAAGTATAGAAACAATTTTTATGGAGTCAGAGACCGAAAAAATTTCCATTAAATCTTCCATTTTAAGCACATTTCGTACTTCAGACAACCATGTAAAAGAGATTGATATTAATAAACTTACCAACTACGAAATCGATTTCATTTCTAAGTATATGGTAATATTTCGGATACTTTAGTAAGGCAATCATGCACCAGGAGAGGGTACATGACAGAGTTTGAGATCCTGCTTCCATAATATTGTGCAAAGCAATCAACAATTGATCTTTCTAGATTAAAATTTTTAGAGCTGTGAGCTTGCATAGAGATGTTTATGATGCTAAACATTATGTGACAAGTGTTATTTATTGCATTTTTAAATACAAGGATGTATGTTCTATATTTCCTATGTTATTGGGAAATGCTTTACTTGAAATCGACAGGTTTTACACATAATAAATCGTAAAACACACGAAATTATCAAGTGACTGAACTATAATCTGGGTCAATCTGCTGCAGTAAGATTCTTGGCTGACCAGAACGTGCACGAAGTTTGCCTGAGTTGAGTAAAATCGAAACCGGAAAGAACAGACATGGTATGGGCCGTATGGCAACTAAAATAAATTGTCAAATGATTTGATGTCCAGAAAGTTGAGATTTTTGAAGCTTCTCGACACAAAACAAGTGTTGAAACAGTAATCTGCTTTACAAAAATGACATCATTGCATAAGTGCAAACACTCAAACAACGATGATACAATATTAAAATTGGAGGTATGTATCAACTAACTTTCATACATTATTAAATTCATCAATTGTTCCAAATATTTTCTCACATGAAACGTTGGATCAGGATTTTGCTTTTTCATTTCTTCCAAAAACATGTCGATATAATCTCGCATTTCGTTTTCGTCGTAAGTGGTTTCGTGTTCTTTTACTTTCGTTTTGAAGAAATCTTGGAATGTTTATTAGAACAAGTAAAATTAATGGAAATTTCAACTTGTACCTCAGCAGCATTTGGGATATTTTCAACTGTTACCAAATATCAATGCGATGGTACTGTGAAAACGTGATTTATTTTCCTATAAGTTAAATTAAATAAATTATTGTAAAATCAGCATCAAAATAGTATCGAATTTTGCCAATGGAACCTTAAAACAACATGATGAACTCGTTATACAGACGAAACGTTGAAACAACATTGACTAAGTTACTCATTTGAATCCTGAGCTAATCAATACGTGAAATATTGCCATTTTGTATTTTTAATGAGATTTTTTTTTCAATTTCCAAAGGAAGAGTAATAGTAAGTGACTATAATTTGATACTATTTTTATAATAATTAAATTATTATTTGTATATCTTACCAACAACGTTATTGAAGTCATCTAAATATCTTTTCATTACAGCTTTGAATGGAGCAAAATGTGGTAGATACTTTGATGAGCCAATTAGTAAAACATATATTCCATTTTCTCGCAGTCTGTGACAAAAAAATTGGAAAATTAAAAATAGAATAATGTGGAAGCAGAGTTTTTATAAGAGAGATTTTGGTAAGCAGATGTTGTACGGATACTTTTGAGTTAATGATTCCTTCTGACTGTTCTGAGGTATAGGGATATAGTACTTTAATATTTACTGCGAAAATCTGTGTGTCGTTCTGTAAGAATTAATTTCTATTTCGCTCACCCATCTACTAGTTTAGATCCCATATGTTCCAGTATTTTATCATCGTATGAATATCTCTCTCCCATCGTAATTAAACATGATATGTTGAATGCAGCGTACAAAAATAATCGCTAAAACAAAATAAAACATAAATGTGGCGGCTCCTATCAGAACGCTTGTCTCAATCATTGCAACTAAACCATTAACTGATTTCGCTTATTTATATATGTAAATGACATCATGTTAGAATAAGTCTATCATACATATAATCGAAAATACTGCTTTATTTTTATGCGTCAGTTTCGTCTTATAGTCAATTCTTTGAAACGAATCACAAAAATTGTTTTTCCATTCTAACAAATCATATCAAAACGGAATTTCATATGTTTATTAACAACTCGCCCGAAGAAAGATATCTGGGGATTCTGTAGTAAACTTAACAGTAGGTAGTAGTGCACTGAAGGCCATTAGACTCATAAACATGCTTATGCAGTACACAGCTAGCAGGTTATACAATAAAAAAAAATTCAAACGTTGATATAATCTTTTGGAGTAAGTTGTTCAAAATACCAAATCATTATAGTTAAGAATGACAAATAAAAATTATGATATACACTGGGATCGAACGGATTTTCCTCCTTATCTTGTATAGCTTTAACCAAATATGATGCTTCTTGTTGTATTCTGGCTTCCATGGTATTTTTACCCACTCCCAATCTGCGAAGAAAACGAATATATTAGCAATCAAATGTGTAGGGACAATCATACTAGGTTGATTGAGTTTCGGTAATTCCGACAAAACTAGTATTATTAAGTGTGAATCGGGTTTAACTCAGCTTCTTTGAATTAGGACAAAACGAGTTGGTCATAACTAGGGCTGGGAATGGTTAAACGGTTGACCGATTTTAGATGGTTAATGGTTACGATTTATTCTAACCGTTAACCGACATCTCAGGTACAAATCATCTTTATAATGTAAATTTTTTCAAAAATGATTACGTCATCGCAAATTTATCTTCTGTGGCGTTTTATTCAAAATAATATCACTAATTGTATTGGTAAGGATCCAATAAATGTGAAAAATAATTGAAGTACCAAGATTGCTAATTATGAAACGTTGACAATGATAAATTCAGAATTAGTTTTCGGTCGAAATATATTGTTCACGATTTTACTGCAAAATCATATATTCAATGTCATCATACTATGTATTATTGAACGTTTTGTTGTAAAGGCAGATGGGAGCGGTCCAATCCTTAGCTTGATCTCTATTGCACCCTCTTTCTGAGATTGCGTGATATTCACTCCCAACAACGAATGCAAAGATATTACAATTCACCAGCACACAATCGATATTTTATTGCCAACTTGATCGTCACAATTCTCCAGTATCTTACGCATAAATACTGTTACTTTCTGCCTTGAAACTCACCTTGTCTTTTTTTATACACACCGTGACATTGAGTTACCGGTTAATTGAGTTAATTTACTATCAAGCATGGCAGGAGATCTAACCTTGATGGTACGACCGAAACAAAATATTTTGTCCTCGGGCTATGGCCTGCGGCGCGAATGACGCACAACAACTAAGAATTGTTACTCGTTTTGTCCTAATACAAAGAATCTGAGTTAAACCCCATTTACACCTAATATTTCTGGTTTTGCCCAAATAACAGAAACTCAATCAACTTACCGTAATATGATTGTCCCTACAAATGTATGTACTGCTATAAAAATTATGAACACCATTTGCGTCTGAACTTGGTTCCTAAACGAAAAAGTCGTTGAGAGGAAAATTTCTCTGCAGACAAAAAAACGTATATATAACCGAAGGTAGGCGAGGGAAAATGCTCAGTTCAGTATTGCAGTGGTGTACCCAATATATATTTTCTGAATACTTAATCGTTATTTCAAATTTGATATTAAAACTTGTTCCGTTCAGTTCAGAGTTTTATCGTTGAAAATCAAAAATTCCATGATTGTATTTAAACATATATAACCTTCTAAAAGTTTGTAGTGTAAAAGGTCTATGAATTTCCGAAATTTTTGGAGTGGCAAAGACGATACCAATTCCTTTGTTGGCTGCATCGGGAACGGTAAGATCTGCTCGAGCACCCATTTTGGCAGCTTGGCGTATTAACACCTGAAATTTGATAGTGAATTGAGTGAATGCAAAAAATATATAGACATCTTCATATTCCCCAGTCAAGTTGGTTTTCTCAACACACAAAATTAACGCTCCGTGCTAAACACAGACACATGATTATGAAAATATCCCATATATTTCAAAATCGTTGAATTCCTAGAGGTATTTCACACCAACGTAAAGATATTTGCCAGACTTTTAGCATGGTTGTAGTTTTATATTTTGCAGATATTTATACACCATAGAAGCAGATTACAATTTTCATTGGCGATCATGTTTTCAAATATTTCATTACATTAGAACACATCATATTGTATTCATTGGTGCTAAAATGCGGAAACAGCTAAACATTATAGCGTTAGCCTGATCAATAAACTAGCAGCTCAAATTCGACAACAATACTGTCACTTCAGCAGAACATTAGAATAACAGAATGTAGCTTTTTAAGTCGCAATAGAATGTTTCATTTTTGGTGATTAAGATATGTCGGTATAGTAAAGTTTGCACATAAGGTTCCTGACACGTGGCCAGGGTGCAGATTAGTACATCTAAACTCCCGGTTATTGATATAATTCGTAAAATCAGGTCGAGGCGGATTAGACGGCTGGAAGAGTTGCTATGTGCAATTCTTGCCTTTCTATCAAGTTTACTTGCCGACATATAAGAAAAAGAAAATATCGCCAATCAAATCTAAAATATAGGAACAAACAGACATTTGTTTGTTCAGCTGAATTCGTGTTGCATATGTCAGTATGTCCCACCGAAAGCTGTAGTATGAAACGTGAGTGTACAATATGGATCTGGCAGGGGCTTTCTACAATTAAGATCCTACAATACCGGTACTGCAATACTTACGTCATAAATACTCCCGTAATTTGCGAGTACTACAGTGTCCGTTCTTCCAATTCGCATGGTGCATGCCCCGTGGTATTCATTAGTCCATTCCGTCAACTTCTTCGTTGGATTAGAGCCCAAAAAAGGAAGTATACCAAGTATCGGTATACCTCTGGGACCTGGTGGCAATCGACTGTCTCTTCTATACCAAAGCAGGAACAAACTCGTTGTTAAAACAATCAACAATGCACCAGTGAGAATAATCATCTTTCTCCACTGCAATCAGGAAATTCTTTTTTTTTATTTTGATTTTTATTCCGATTTTATCATACCGTATCCTATACCAACTGCATAATTTACATTTATTGTATATATTGAAGAAAACGTTACAGTATTGTGAAGTAAAAGTCAAATATCTGAATATATTCAACTTCGCATCCAAATTCGCATAGTTCAATAGCTGAAGGACTAGGGTTGCTATTGAGTGTTGCGGCAGACGATACAACTTCTTTTGTACATAAAAATCTAATTCTAGCCATGCTTGGTTAATTATAAACAAATCTCCGAATCTAGTAAACTTATGCACTCTATCTGACGTTTTGTCAGCGTTTGTTGATATTCTACACGTCTTGCGACAATACATATAAGTGCGTTTGCGGATGCACCAGCCTTGTTCACATTCTGCATAAAGCCTTGAGGCAACGCACACAAGTCGTAAAGACTCGGATAGACGAGAGAGATTCCGTACTTATATATCTCACAAACATTTGATGCGAAAAAATTAATAAATCATAACATACATATGATACATATCACGACAATACATATAGTGCGTTTGCTGCTGCACCAGCCTTGTTCACATTCTGCATCAAGCCTTGAGGCAACGCACACAAGTCGTAAAGACTCGGATAGACGAGAGAGATTCCGAACCGCTATATACCTCACAAACATTTGATGCGAAAAAATTAATAAATCATAAACAACGAAGCGAAATATAATGTACGTGTCAATACCAGGAAGCAACACAGGTGATATAGTTTGGAATTCCAATGTGACAAATGTTATACAAGAGATAGTTTTGTCATTTTTGTAATCTTTAATTTAGTATTGCAAATACCAAAATATAACACGGAGCCGAAAAGGGTGATATAGACTATCAAACGACTTTACAGTGCGCATATTAATAAATTCGCAGCTGCAGACATTCCAAACTTCTCAACATGCTGTTTGTTTACTAACATATATTCGGTCACTTGAGTGAAGGATTTTTAAACAGTTGTCTAACCCAAATGATCCTTATCCTTGAATGTTCCTGGAGTCGCAATGGAAGTATCCAAACCACAAAACAAAGAAGCTGCGATATGTTCGACTGGTTCACACATTCATATTATTTCGAAAATAAAATTGATAATAATCATATTATTTTGACAATGAAATTGAAATAATATTCACGCAAAATACAGTGTGCCAGGTTGCCCCATAAATTATTGTATATGATAATTCGCCCCTTTTCCATTTTTGAAATGATTTCTCAGAGTTTGCTCTTTCCGATAGGTCCGACATTGTACAACAGACATGACAAAGGTGTTGTGATTTCTATCCTCATTCAATAGTAACAATTATTGAAATATAATAATAGGTATATAACAGGGATTTCAACGACCCAATTACTCTCTGTCAGTCATTATCAGGTCCAGTGGTGAAGGGCTAAAGACAATGCCCTCTATGCCATCATCCAAAGAAGGAATCATTGTGCCATCTTTCACCGAGATGTCAAAATTTTGAATCAGCGTAACCAGCAAAATGAAGAGCTCCACTTGTGCTAATTGATCTCCGAGACAATTACGTTTACCTATGCTGAATGGTATCCAATATTTTGATTTTTGGAAGGATCCATCCTCTGGATTGATAAATCTTTCCGGGTAAAATTTGTCTGGATCAGGAAAACACTTCGGATCATTATGAACTGCCCACGTAACTGATTGGATCTGTTTAAAAACATAGAAAAAGTTAAATGTGTCTCTTGCATGCATAACAAGATAAGCTGTCTAACACGATAATTTTGATTCCTTAAGTAACATGAAAACAACATTAATATTCTGAGCGGAGAATACAAAACTGTATTTAATTTAAAATATAGAACTGTTTTGCTCGATCTTTCTTATCGCAGCTTTTCGCGGCGGATTTTTCTGGAAAATTCAATTATATATATTGAAGTAGTAAAAATTTCAACTTGGATTTTAATTTTTCCAATTTTACCGGAGTATTTTTTGGTAATCTGTATCCATTGACAACCACTCCATCTTCAAGAGTTTGGGTTAGAGAATTTTTGACCAGGGTACATCGACGCATCAATTCATGATAAAATGCTAAAGTTTGCGGCATGTTTTTACGATCGGATAACGAAACTTTTCTGTCACAACCTATAAAAAATAAAAATGCCTTACCAAAATTCATTGCTATTTTAACCAAAATTTTATAGAGATAGTGTTCCAATAAGAGTGAAAAGAAAAACTAAAGGGTAAGCATTTTTTTCAAATATAAAAATGGCTATTCGAAAAAGCGCATTTAATCTGTACTAGTCTTGTGATAAGATGCATTGGTGTAATTTTGAGAATGATTCTTCATTTTCAATTTCGAATTTAATTATGACGTATAATTTTAATCAATTCAGCGCAATGTTCCAGAATATGACGTATACACAATGTAAAACTAACCCACGACAGAATCGACTTCATCTCGAATTATTTTGTAATATTTCGGATACTTCAGCAAGGCAATCATGCACCAAGAGAGAGTACATGACAGAGTTTGAGATCCTGCATCCATCAAATTATGCAAAGCAACTAATAATTGACGATTCTGAATTGAAAATGTGATGATAAAGATATTGAAATATTATAGCTAATTTTAATGCAGAAGGACTTTTGTAACTGACAATGAAAAGTTATGTCAGCGCGCTAAGGTTAAAAACTAAAAATCAAACATTGCATAAACGCAATAAATGCATGCTTTAAGATTAAAAATATAATCACATGTATTGTAATAAATTTGTATGGTGAGTGATGATATTATAATATTTATATGTTGCTCACGTGAAATGTTGGATCATGATTTTCTTCTTCATTTCTTCCATGAAAATGTCAATATAATCTCGCATTTCGTTTCGTCGTAAGTATTTTCGTGTTCTGTTACTTTCTCCGTAAAAAATTCTGAAATGTTATAAACAGAACCACGATTTGTCATTCAAGAGTTACCAGTACAATTTTGCAACTTCACACAAATTTCAAGAATCGTAATATATATTCCATTTATAATTTAAAATTTTTTAAAAATATATATGGAACCAATTCTCCTAGTTTCGTTTAGGCTCATTTTATATTCATACGTATTTCTACGTGAAATTAAGATAATAGTAATGGCATTTTGAAACTGCAAACTAAAAAAAAACTATTTTTTTTACATCAAAGAAATATATTTCTTACTAAGAAGATCATTGAAATCATGTACATATCTTTTCCTTGCTGTTTTGAACGGAACGAAATATTTCAGATATTTGCACATTGATATCAAAAAAATATGTAATCCATTCTCCCGTAATCTGCAGCAAACAAGGCATTGATTTATTTTAATATAAAGAACAGTCAGAACAGGAGATGAATATTACTTGATACAAGAAGTAGATATCAAATATATGGATACTAATATTAGTAGCCGCAGTGACGCTCACCTACACGACTAGTGAGGAAATTTGTCTGAGCACCGAGTTCGCAAAATCAAAACGGAAGAAAGCCATGACGTCCGCCGTCACGCTTGGCGAAATAAAATCGGTATTCCCATCACTAAGAATCGAACAGTGACATTTGAGATGAACTATCAGATCTCGTAGGATTCATACAAAATATAGGAACAAATAAAGTAATAGCCTCCTAGCGACAACAACAATGTTTAACCACTGAAAATATCAAAGGAATCAACCCAGTCGTGAATGAGAAAAGTAATTTTCACAACAACGACAAGAAAAAATAGAATACTAACAACAGCTACTAACAAATCCATCTATGGGTCAACTTCGTGTCCAACAACGTTTTCTATATTTTGGAAAAAGGCATATTAATCTCACCCATCTACAAGTCCCGAACCCATTTGTTCCAGTATCTTATCATCGTATGGATATCTTTCACCCATCGTATTCAAACATGAAATGTTGAATGCAGCGTACAGAAATAATCGCTGAAAAACACATGCGTTAGAATGACTTTATTGCGCCTCGCGACCTAAATTTGCACGTCGTCGAGTGTGAGACAAGGCAAACGGATATAGAAAAGAGGGTTATTTTATTATGCTCGTTTGATTGTTATGTCTTCAATTTGGAGATAATTACAATTTCCTCTGCTGTAAGTTACGAATTCATCCTATATATAGTATGAATAAGATTTTTTTTAAATCTGGACAATTAAATGTAGATACTGGGAAAACAGTATTGTATTATGAAAATTCACTTACACCAGGATTAAATGGTTTTCCACTTTTACTCTGGATAGCCTCAATCAAACAAGTTGATTCCTGTTGTATTCTGTCTTCCATAGTATTTTTACCGAGACCTAGCCTGTAAAGAAAACAAGCATATATATTTATCAAATTTTTGATATAAACTTGGTAAAATTTTAATTGAAACACTTGCCAAGTCATTTCGATTGTACCGTCTGGCATTTGGTTGAATCATTTTCCCCATCACGTTTGATACTCCTAACACAGTTTTCAGCAGAACAATTTTAAAACAATTAATCATTAACCTTCTTAGAGCTTGAAGTGTGAAATTCCTGTGAATTTCCGAAACTTTTGGAGTAGCAAAGATGATGCCTATTCCTTTATTAGCCGTTTCGAATACGCCCAATCGTGGTCGAGCACCCATTTTTGATGCTTGGCGTATATGCACCTAAAATTTGAATGCAAAGCATTATTGATGGACCCCACGTGGTAATGGTATCGTTGCGCCACCCCAGAGGTTCTCCTGGTATCTTAATAATTCTGATGCTGTCCCGTTGTGTTATGCTATCCGTCATCACACATGAGGACTACGTATCTTCAAAACACTCTTTAATTAAATTATTAAAATGCAAATCGACGAAATATCAGTGTATAATAAAATCGTACTCATTGATATTTAAATTTAAAAAGAAAACCATGACTCAATTCGTAATACAAAAAGTCAATCTTGACAAAATACAGCTTAGTTTCTGAATATTCACCCTCGAAATCCACAACTATCTTATCTTTCTGTTCTAAAAGATGGTTCTGAAGTTGATGGAGGGAAGAGTTTCGAACAAGGTTCAGAATTTTTGAGAAAACGTTTTCAAAATTCAGGTGCGTCCCTTCATCTATGACGTCGGCGGATAAATGTCATGTAGCAACGAATGACTGAACACCTTAGTTGAGTTGTAAAATTACAATCAATAATTAGATATGACAGAAACTGAACTTACGTCGTACATAATCTCGTAATCTGTTATGATAAGAATATCATTGGTGCCAGATCGAATTGTGTATGCGCCGCCGTATGTCTTACTCCATTCTGTCAACTTTTTCGCTGGATTAGAACCCCAAAAAGGAATAGTCCCTAAAATTGGTATTCCTCTGGGTCCTGGAGGTAAACGACTGTCGCGTCTATACCAGTATATGAACAAACTCGCTATGAAAACGAGCAACAGTGTGGTGGCGAGCATTGCTAAATTCAGCTCTAAACCTCTCTAAAAATAGTTTTAAAATATATCAAGATATTGCTAGATTTCGATTGTAGAATTGCATGTTTAGCCGCATCACATATATATCTATGAGTATGATTACTTTTTCATTGTCCAGACTCTAGTCTAGAGTCATAATGTCGAAAAAAGTTTAATATCATTTTTAACAAATTTCTTTTCAATACGAACAGTTGTAACAGGAAATGTAACAACAATCTATATCGCTACGGCCTCTGCATAGTGGTACGACAGCCTGTTCAAAATGTTTACTCTTGACCAAGCATAAGGCATTTAACAACCTCATTCAAGTATGTTATGCTGCAGGATAATATGAATTCTATTTTTAATTTATTATACCTAAACTTTGAGACAAGAATCTGCTCACTCGCTAGTTGTGTAGAGACTACATCATCATCCTCCCGAGAAATGAGTCGTTGCGGTTATGCTTTGTTTGGTTGCTGATGTGTTCCTAATGTCTTGTTTGCCTGACCTGCTAGCTGGACACTCTATCAATCATTTACTTTGCAATAGAACTTGCGCAATCCATATATATTTCATCACTGTTCACAGATAAAATACTGTCACGATTATGCTCAGATCTCAGACAAGTAGTAAACTTCAACACAAATTAAAGTGGGTGGGTCACGAGAGCTTGAGCTGCTCATTTATGGACGAGATACTTATAGACGAGAACCCCATGTGAGTTGCCGAGTGCTTTGTTTAGTTACTACAATACTACACTAACATGTATTGATACTTTGCAAGTTTGAATTTTTTACAATATATTCAATATTTTTACAATATATCAAGGTGTCAATCGGGTCGATGTTCTTTCAAATGAGCCATGTATTCTATGATCCTCAACTTTATGTACCACAGGTGAACGTGACTATTATGACGGATTCGATATTCTTGCTCTAGTAAGCAATTATATATCGAGACTGCAGTTATTTGAAAATAAGTTGGCAAACAATTCTTCTTTTCCTTGAGTGAGCGTACAATTTAGGGTCGGTGAATGAGAGGAGGGCAAATCTACCGCTGTATATTGATCAGGATAAAATTTACATATTTATCCAAGGGGAACGGAAGACCGTTAATACGCCTTAATCATATGGCGAACCACGGTCTCTCGTCCGGATACCAGTTCATGTCGACTATGAAATTAGTTAGCCAGTTATTTTGTTTTCAGATGCATTATTTTCATTTCAGACTTGATGTTAGAGGAATCTGTAACCGACCATGAATTACGTGAATCACCCTACGACGGGCGGAGTCAGCAATCCTTTCGCACGTAACCCACGCAGGGTAATCAGAGATTATGTGGCAAGCGTATTCCTAACGATGAAATTTAAATAAAAACAATTGGCACAAAATAAAACTTGTTGATTGAAGATCTTTTAAAAGGTAGTAAAAGCAGATAATAAAACTGCTGAAATCAGTCAATCAGAATTACGTGTCGATATAACCCGTCATGCCGTCAATTATTTTGCATTGCATCCAGAGAGCGTTTAGATCAGAGGTGGGAATTTTACTCATCTAGACAGACTGGCGGGCCATAAAAGTGTGACATAAAAAGTTATATTTCATGAACAGAATGGCAAGAATGCGTCTATGATGAACAAAAAAGCGCCAAGAGAGCGTTACATGGGGACATTGATGTGAGAAGCACGGAGTCGAACCGAGCGAGCGAGAAAACGTTAAGTTATGTTAACATGCCCAAAACATGAAAGTCTGTGGAAACTTAAAATACAACTTAAACAGACTACGATCTTATTCTAACAAACCTATTGTACCAATCAATTAATTGTCGACATTGCTAACATTAACGACTTGTGAAAATTGAAGACACAGAGCAGGCTTTACTTTCAGAGTTATGTAAAATTAGGGGAAATAATTTAGGACTAATCAATGATAGAAAAGTTGTCCACAATTTTAACAGTAAAAATAACACTCACTGACTATCATTCCCAAATAGGCATATAGGCTATCAAAATAATATACAATGCGCCTAATAATAAAACCTCAGCTGCAGCAATTCCAAACTTTTCAACATGCTGTTTGTTTATTAATATTATATTTTTGTCACTTGAAGGAAGGATTTCTAAACAGTTGTCTAACCCAACTTATCCTTGAACGTTCCTGTAGTAGCAATGGAAGTAATCAAACCACAAAACAAAGAAGCTGGAAAATATTCGACTGGATCACATATTCATATTATTTTAAAAATGAAATTGAACTAATATTCACGCAGGATAGACAGTGCCAAGTTGCCCATGTTGTATATGATAAACTGTCCCTTTTCTATTTTTGAAATGGTTTCTTAGAGTTTGCTCTTTCCGATGAGCTCGACATTGTACATCAGACACGACAAAGATTTTTAGTTTTTTTTTTCCTATCATTATTATATTATATTAATTGTGGAAATATAATTATAGATATATCAGTGATTTTAACGCTCCAGTTACTCTCTGTCAGTCATTATCAGGTCTAATGGTGGAGGGCTGAAGGCAATGTCCCTCTAAGCCATCACCCAACGAAGGAATCTTTGTGCCATCTTTCACCGAGATGTCAAAATTTTGAATCAGCGTTACCGACAAAATGAAAAGCTCCATTTGTGCTAATTGATCTCCGAGACAATTGCGTTTACCGATGCTAAATGACATCCAATATTTTGATTTTTGAATAGATCCATCCTTTGGATTGATAAATCTTTCCGGGTAAAAATGAACGCCCATGTAACTGACTGGATCTGTTATAAACGTAAACGAAGTAAAATTTGTTTTCTCGCCACGCATAACAAGATAAACCTACTAACACGATAATTTTGATTCCTTAAGTAACATGAAAACAGCATTAAAATCTTGCAAGCGGAAAATGCAGAACTGTATTCAATTCAAAATATAGATATGTTCTGCTCGATTTTATTATCACGTCTTTTTTGCGGCGGATTTTTCAGGAAATTTTTTATGAACAAATACATGATTTTATGCAAAATTTGATTTATGAACTCGAAAAATGGACGTTATAAAAATTTCAACTCAAATTTGAATTTTTTTTTCAATTTTACCGTAGTATGTTTTAGTAATCTGTATCCATTGACAACCACTCCATCTTCAAGAGCTTGGGTTAAAGAATTTTTGACCAGGGTACATCGACGCATCAATTCATGATAAAATGCTAAAGTTTGCGGCATGTTTTTACGATCGGATAACGAAACTTTTCTGTCACAACCTATGAAAAGTAAATTTTCCTGACCAAAAGACATGAATATTTTAACCAAAAGCTTATAGAGTTAGCAGTTAGTGTTCCAATAAGAATGAAAAGAAAAACTAAAGAGGAAGCTTTGTTTTTCAAATATGGAAATGATTATTTGAGATGCATTGGTTTCAAACATATTTAGGACCAGCCGAAATTTTGACAATGATTCTTCATTTTCAGTTCCACATATAAGTATGAGGTATAATTTCATTTTCAGGTTCAGCGCAAGTTTTCAAGAATATTTTGGGTACTTGAGTAAGACAATCATGCACCATGAGAGAGTACATAACAGAGTTTGAGATCTCGCATCCATCAAATTATGCAAAACAACTGATAATTGACGATTCTGAATGAAAATTCAGGATACAAACTTTGATACATTATAGCTAATTTTAATGCAGATGGAGTTCTATAACAGTGAAAGTATAGATTATGTCAGCGCCCAAAAGTTAAAAACTAAAAAATTAAACATTGCTTATACGCAATAAATACATGATTTTGAGGATAAAAATATATCTATAATATTGTATAATGTTTGTATGGTGACTGCAGTGGTGATATTATAATATTTATATGTTGCTCACGTGAAACGTTGGATCATGATTTTTCTTCTTCATTTCTTCTATAAAAATATCGATATAATCTCGCATTTCGTTTCAGTCGTAAGTATTTTCGTGTTCTTTCACTTTCTTCGTGAAAAATTCTAAAAATGTTATAACAGAACAGAATTTGTGATTAAAGAATTACCAGTTCAATTTGCTACTTGACACAAATTTCAAGAATCAGTTATGTGTATCAATTTTTTTAAATCTGATATTTTTTATATACTTATATGGAGATAATTCTCACATTTTCATTTAGGCTCATTTTATAATAATAAATATTTCTGTGTGAGATCAAGATAATTGTAATGGCATTTTGAAACTGCAATCTAAAGCAGAAACTAGTTTTTCCACATCAAATATATTTCTTACTAAGAATATCATTGAAATCATGTACATACCTTTTTCGTGCTGTTTTGAACGGAGCAAAATATTTCAGATATTTGCACATTGATAACAAAAAAATATGTAATCCATTCTACCGAAATCTGCAGTAAACAAAGCAATAATTTCTTTTATTATAAAGAACAGTCAGAACAGGAGATGAATATTACTTGATACAAGTAGTAGATATGAAGATATCAAATATATGTATACTAATATTAGTGGTCCGCAGTGACGCTCGCCAACACGACTCGTACCGAAATTTGTCTGAGCACCGAGTTCGCAAAATCAAAAAGGAAGGACGTCATCTTGACGCTCGCCAACACGACTCGTACCGAAATTTGTCTGAGCACCGAGTTCGCAAAATCAAAAAGGAAGGACGTCAGCCGTCACACTTGGCGGAATAAAATCGGTATTCCATCAATGAGAATAGAACAGTGACATTTGGGATGAATCATCAGATCTCATAGAATTCATACAAAATATAGGAACCAATAAAAGAACTAGCCTCCTAGCGACAACAACAATATTTAAGCACTGAAAATGTCAAAGAAATTAAACCAGTCGGGAATGAGAAAAGTGATTTTCATAACAACCACAAAAATACTAACAACAACACACTAACAAAACGACCTATGGGTCAATTTCGTGTCCAAAAACATGTTTTTTGTATTTTGGAAAATGCATATTAATCTACCCATCCACAAGTTCCGAACCCATTTGTTCCAGTATTTTATCATCGTATTGATATCTTTTACCCATCGTATTCAAACATGCAATGTTAAATGCAGTGTACAGAAATATTCGCTGAAAATATTATGTGTACCAGGTTAGAGTTCAGGTTGTGCGCAATCTTGGTGCATATATTTCGGGAGCGCCCACGAAAAACTTTAAACCATGTATGATTATATTTTCATACTTGAACGAGCACATCATTTGAGTTGCCGAGTGCTTCATTTATGTACAGCACTAACATGCATTGACACTTTGCATGCGGTTACGTAAACCACCCTTCGGCGGCGAGGACTCCAGCAATCCTCTCGCACTTACTTATCCCCCACGGGATTCAAACCTGCAAACCCACGCAGGGTAATCAGCGGTGCTGTGGCAAGCGTATTCGTAACGCTTATCACGATGCGTCACACCGCCGAAATCACAGGATCCAAATTTCAGTGCAGCAATACAACCAATGAGTCAATCGTCATTTTTTATCACAAATAAAAAAAAAAACTAAATGGACAAAAATTCATGCATAAAAATTGTTAGATCAATCACCTATAATCTCTTGGATGACAGCGACCTGTAAAGAAAATTTAGAAATGATGTACAGTAGATAACCGTCACTGTCAAAAATATAAATTGCGCTCGTTTCTGCAGACGTTTCGTTTTGAATCAGCGCTAGTCGTGTCCCCGTTTCAACTCGCGAGTGTAGGGCGGGTATTGCTCAGAGTTAACGATGCATGCAGATACCACGAACATGATCCCTCCACATACAAGTTTCTCTCGTATTTCTTACTTCCCATATCTCTGTGTTTGTGTTGTGTCTGTTTGGTTGCCTATGTGTTTCCAAAGGTTCCATTACATTAGAACCCGTAATTTGAACCCACGACAATTGCACCTGCATACTATTGCACCTTTTTTTACGGATGTTCGAACCCGTACTAACCCTAACCCATGGGTTTTTGCACCCTCATATAAATTGAATCCGCGGATATACAGGTGCAAATGTACGTGGGTTGAAATGTACGGTCACCGTTTCTAAATTCCCACTGTCTTGTTTGCCTGAAGCGCTATTTTGTAATTTCTATCAATCATTCACTTTGCAAATAAATTTACGCAATCGATATATATATTTCATTACTCTTTACAGATAGAATACTGCCACGATTATACTCAGATCGCAGACAACTATTAGACTTAGCACAAGTCAAAATAGGCGAATCACGAGAGCTCGAGCTGCTTATTTATATATATTCATGAACCGCGTTTGCCCATATATGATTTTAGATTCTAATACTCAAACCCCATATTAGTTATCTGGTGCTTTGTTAATATATCACACTAACATTCATTGATTCTTTGCAGGTTTGAACTTTTTACAAAATATCCATTATCAGAAATTCATGCATCAAAATTGTTAATCTAACTTTGTTAAATTTTGTACTAATACATTAGCAGCCATATCAGTAGAGTATTGTTTCTAGTAACCGAACTGATGCGAGTAGAATATATTATGGCTTTTAAAATAATTTGACATCCTGCTATACATTATTTTTTCAAGAATTTTGGAAAACGACTGAAGAAGACTAATATTTTTAAATGGAATACCATCGATTCGAAAACTTGTCTTGGGCTTCATTTCGCGTATATTGTTTTTTCAATTCTATTGCTGTTTGTAGTTGGCCTTGAAAACATGAATGGGAATTCTTGCTTCCAAAGCTATAAAAGGTGGCTTTTCAGCTAGCTGGTTGTGACATATTGTCAAGCAAGCTTCGTGCCACTTGGGAAAAGTGTTCATTAAATTTTTTTTGCAATTTTCGAAATACTGCATTTGAGTCTAATCGAAGGGCAAAAATTGATTTTATGTTTACCAACTAGTTCAGTGGTTCTCAACCTTTTTCTGTTTTTGCCCATTTTTGTGGCACAAAAATTTTGTGACCCATTACCTTTCCCATATCAGGCTAAGACTACAAGAAAAACAAATAATTCTTCCCGCAATATAGACACTTTCACTTCAATAATTATTAAAACGAGTATTTACCACTCCGCAGTAAAAAAACAGCAACGTCATTTATTGCCACTGGAATCAATCAACAACTCTTGTAATTTTCAATAGCTTTGTGGCCCACCTGAAGTTGTTTCTGTGGCCCAGCAGTGAGCCATGGCCCGCTGGTTGAAAACCGGTGAACTAGTTCATTAACTGTTTTCCACACTGCCTTGATGTTACCGTTGTGATAGGCAAATTTAGACCTATGATATTTAGGCTTCCCGCTGCTTGTCAGCAGGGAACCTATTGTATTCCTGTGTTTTATTATTATTTATTTATTTTTATTATTTTTTTTTTCAAATTGGTCCTACAAACTTGAAATTCACCTCAAATGTGCAGAAGTTCTCAGCTAGCAATAAAATGCAAATTTTATGCATGATTGACCACGCTTTCACGCTCCAGTGAGCAAAACGCGTCTTCAGTTTTTTTGCGATTTCTCAAAATCGATACATGCTATTGGGTTGAAATTCATAACAATGATTAATGGACATGTTCCGGATACGATGTGTCAAGAATACGCATGAGTGACCTTGGGGATACGCTCCAGTGAGCAATATAGGATTTTCATCTTCTTCTCGAGAACGACACTACTTAGAGACTTGAAATTTAAATCACATGCAGATAATAAGTCCCCCATCATAAATTGCAAATTTTATGCATGACTGACCACGCTTTCACGCTCCAGTGAGCAAAACGCGTCTTCAGTTTTTTTTACGCGGGAAGCCTGTTAAAGCTGCATGCAGCTCTAGTTTGATTTTGGAGTAGTCGAGCATAAAGATAACTGCATTCATTATGCTGCGATTCGCGCGTGTCATCTGTTTTTATTATTAGTTTCTCATAAAGCTTATGTTCGACTTTGTTGAGTTTACGTAACTCAATATCATACCAAGGTTTGTATATTCGGTTTGTTTGTTTCCTGTACGAAAAAGACTGAAAGTAAGCAACAGAGAACTTATCGAAGAATTTTTCAAAACATATATTGGAATCCTGGATGCTGCTGAAGTCATCTAAATCAATAGAATTTATTAATAAAAGTAGGCTATTCAAGTTGGACGAGATAAACTGTTGATGAAGTGTTTAATTCTATTTTGAATTTGCTTTTCTAAGTGAAAGCACTGTACAATTGGCAGATGATCAGAAATACATTCTACTAAAACAGCGCTGTTTATTATTTTATTGTATACATATGTGGTCTATACTGGTAGCAAAAGTTGAAGTTATGCTGATGGGCCAGTTTATCAAAGAATAATAGGCCAGGCTGTGCATAATATCAACAAAGAGGCTGTTACAGTATTAAAATTAGACTCATTTATTTATCTTTGACATGAATATACCTGGTGGCAATCATGCGCTAGTGCTTTTGCGAGTTGGCGCCTGTAAAATGGGTATGTGTTTCAAACCATCATTATGATTCATCGCATACAACAATCTGTGTGTTAAAAGTTCCGGTAGAGAATTTTAGCCTAGTCTATCACAGCTATTTCAACACTAATTTTTTAGTGCTGCAATTAAATTAAAACCCCTAGGAAGACAGAGAGATAATTGGATTATCTGATTTATATTTAAGTTTCCGAAACACAACAGAAAACTAACGAATATATAGTTCAAAAACGCGAAAACGAGGTAATGTTACAAACTAAACGAGAGAACATTACAAACTAAAAAAATATATATATTTCTGTACATGGTTACAAAGTATACGCGAGACAGAAGTGGCAGATGCCTGTTCCACACAGTAAAACAAAAGAAAAATATACAAGTGCAATGCAGTGAGACGAATAAAAAAGAACATATGCCACAGTGCAAATAATCTATATGTGTAATTACAGTGTTTAAAATATTATATGAATTACATTCAGTAAAAAATAAATTAAAATACAAGACATATGAAGTATATGTATATATATATTGAACAAAAGAAAGCAACAATAGATATTACAAGTTTTTACTCAAGTACAGTAAGACAAGTGGTAAAATGAATATGTGTTACTTGGGTCAATGAGCTATCATGTCTCAAAGACCTGATTGTTGATAAATAACAACCCAATTCTTTTTTACAATCCGAAGAAGATAAGTCAGTAGCACATCGATTATCAAGGATGTCATGACTTTATCACATTGAAGAATTGCAATGATTCTCGAGTTCACTCCAAAATTGGTAGCACCACTAAACAATATTAATGTTCCACAATATCTTATCATACTCGGCTTAGTCAAAAGGAGATCCCTTTGGCCGCTGATAACCAAAATGTACTGGTGTTTCGTTTGTAATTCTTCCGCTATTACTATGAGTTGGCGAGGTTGTTTGAAGAGAGAGATCATTGAAGTTTTGTTGCAATGCAAATGGACTTTGAGTTTCCTTTATTGCTAAATATGATTTACTGTTCTTCGCATCTCCAGTTAGAGCCATATCACGTAGTTCAGATAATTCGGCAAACGGTATATAAGCTTCGCCTGAAAAAGAATAAAGTCATTTCAGGTCAGAATATGCAACCCTTATAGTAAAACATTTCACGTTGTATGTTGAATATCTGATATTTCAAAAAATGTTCTCGTTTTTTGTGATTTGCTCCAGTAGTAGGGATAGGGAATCTAATCAGTGCAGTGGGTTGCATGAGTCTGACTTTCTAACAAGGCCTCCTAAGGCTTCTTGGAATATTTCAGAACCCAAAATTTCCTTGTTCAAACCGGATGTTTTATTCATTAGAATTAATTCAAGTGGTTCCAATAGCAAATGCACTAATACAATGAGTAGCTCAGTCACATTATTACTTATCGATCTTAAGATCGGTAAGTATATTGATAGGTATTTGTCTGTATGTATGTCTGTCTGTTAGATGCACGCGATATCTCACGAAAGCGAGATTGAATCTGCTCCAGATTTTGCATGTGCATTCATCTTATCTTGGACCAGAAGCCTATTGATTTTGGGCGAATTATGTCGTATAATTAGCGAGTTATCAATCAATTATTGATATAGTGATCTAGATTTTTGTAAAGCGAGAGAATTTTGAAACCCGCCGAGTGTGTGTGTGTGATGCGCAGTGCGCAAGTTACAAGAGCGGATGAATCGAAACTGCAGTTTCTGTTTTCGGGATCCCCTAACTATCGATCGATAAGTCTTCGGTTTCCAACCGATATTCTCGTTTTTAGAAGTTATAGGTTGGAAATATTACATATACGGTAGCTTCATTCGTTTGACAAATGCATGTTAGAATCTGATTCTAACATGCTACTCAATGAGCCTACAGACTCAGTCATTTGAGTTTACTAAAATTTGAAGTACTAAGAAAAAACAAGAAAAAGTCATTCCATCTAATCCAAAAATTCTTCACTAGAAAGTATTCTAATATCACTAAGAATACAAACGAATGAAAATTGATACAAACCAATTGGCAGCCCATTTGCAACTCTTATATCTTCAGTTTCAAAGAAAGTTTGATGATCTTCCCAATGTCTATCACAAGCAGCACAGAGAAAGTTAGATTCAAACTGATGACATCTAACAAAAATATCAAAAAAAGATTAGAGCAAAAATTCAATATGAAAGTATAAATGTTTTAAGTAGGGATGTGGAGTCTGGAAAAGATACAATTGACTACACACCCAAGGTTGTAAACAAATTTGACCCTGGCCTCCAGACTGATAGAACCTTTGACTCTGACTGCAATGAAAACATGCCACCAAACTCTAGCTTGGCAAAAATAGTGTTGATCTCATTCTTGATTGGTGTTTTCAATATATGTGAAATTTTCGATACCTGAATATAATTCCACATCCTCCTCACTCATAGGAACAAATATTACTTTTATCAAAAAGAATTGATGAGCAATATTGTTGCAAAAAAGGATTACAAAGATAATAGGATAAGCTTCACTATCATGAAATTGCGGTACTATAGTTGAGAAAATATCATTGATTTTGTGTAATAACTAAAATGTTCAATTTCGAGAAAAAAAAACAGCAAAATAATTCACTATGTATTGTAAAATTAGGAAATTCAAATAGTCGTTTGTACCAATGCTTAATAATCCATAATTGTCAAACCTTTGTATTCCAATTAAAACCTTATAAAATCTTACCTGCAACCCTTAAACTGACATCTTCGAACTCCAATTGGTGAGTGATTAGTATGAGAATGCTTACATCTAAAAATACATATAACCAACATATTTTACTTCATAAAGACCATGCCAAACATAATAAAACCCATTTGTTGAACAGATCCGAGTTCACTCACTATAACAACAATATAAGTCGGATAGGTTAAAAAATGTGCTACATTTTTAGTGTGGATGTGGGGCTATCATAATGTAGGTAAATATAATTTCTTTAATTAAACAAAAATGACAATTCATGTTGTATGACTACGGAATACAAATAAGCTTGTTTTAACAAAATTATCAATTGGGAATATTTGATAAATACACAAAGTTATGTTTAAGAAAACACTATGATTGATGAAATTTGAGTCATTGTTGTTCTATCATATCATTCTTTCATTTAAAAATAATGAAAACATAAATTGACTTTGTATAATAAGATCCTAATGCCTGAAAGACCAGCTAGACAAATAGAAATATCATTGTTAGCATAGGAAGAGATTCTCACATTTATTATTGTGGTTTCAAATATCCCACTAACAATATCTTACGAAAAATGAATGCACATATATCAATGAGCATCTAGATTAACCCAAAACATTAACCTGCATTTCGCTGTCCAAGTGCTAGGATCATATCCTGGTCTTTTTTTAAGCCAGAATTCACCAACATCTTCTGGTCTTGATGGAACAAATTCAAAACTTCTGCAGCGACAATCATGAATAGCACAAGATACTTGGGATTTTGTTCCTGATAAAATAAATACCAATGGTTTAAAACACAATCAATTGAACTCAAAAGCATAAGTGACATAGACAAACCCCGTCACATATGCTGACTGTTATGTACAATGTTTGGTATTTTGAACAAGATGATTTTATTGAGAAGAACTGATTTATTTTTAAATGCATTTTAATATAATTGTTAAGTAAATGGAATCTGTGGAATACAAAACATGCCACAAATCAAAATTCAATATGAATAATATTTGAAAGGCAAGGTATAACCCCTGTCAATAAATGAAAGCATTCTTTAACTGAAAAAAACTTCCCACTAACCATTAAAATATCTGTGTTGATTCAACAAATGACCACAAAAGCATTTAGATTCTTCTCCAACTCTGATACAGTCCCAAGTGCACTCTGGGCATCTCCATCCAACATAATGCCCTAAGAAAAAGGAGTTATTACTTTGTTAGATTAGGCCTCGCTTTTAACTCTGATACTGATTCAAGCTGTTTGATATGCGAACAAAAACACACCTGTTTCCACAGCTCGTACAGCAGCAGCTACCTCAGGACTAAATGTTTCTTGAACACGTTTTCCAAAATTTTCTCGATGCATAGCTTTAGCTACTGAAATCAACTCTGCTTTTTCAGCAGGAACAATCGGCTTTGCAGTGTATCGAACACCTAAGATTATAACAATTTATAATTCAAAAAATACAGCACAAGGTCATCTTTAAATGAGGTTGAAAATTTACATCTTCTATTTACAGTTTAAAAAATTGATAATAATAAATTATGTGCTTCTCGTAAATAAAATAGGTGGTATTATCCTCATATCAGTAGATAAAAAAAAAACAATTTCAAGCTTATTGCTTACGTTTCATTCATTGGTATAAAATCTATTGAAGTGGGATAATGAACTAGTTTAAATTCAAATACCATTATATTTCAAATTGTGGACTGAGGAGTGATTGAAAACGAGCCAATATTCAGTTTGTATGGGTGTAAGGAAATAAAGAAATATTCTACCTGACATTGGTGCTTTCAATTTCACACCTCCAAATCCTCCTCTTCCTGGTCTAAATCGGGATATACTTTTTGTTGATGCAGAATTATTGCGATCATTTTTAGAAACAATCTCATTTCCTCTGTAATAAGAGTAAGTACGGTGGATTTCAGATGTAAAGCATTGAGAATCATGAGAGTTTATTGATAAAACGTGGGAGCAGTGGCCTAGCCTACTGGTTAAAGAGTTAGACTTAACTATGATGGAAGGCATCACATGCTCACCGTTTCACCCACTGTGTGACAATTTGGGTAGTCATAGTCAAGTTCGTTTTTTCTATCCAGTAAAAAATAACATATAAGATTGACAAAATACGAAATTGAACACACATTCTTACTGTGGAAAGGAAGTCGCGAGGAACAAGAATTGATTATCGAGCAGGGACACCCAAGGTTCAATATCTGATTAAATTTCTAAAGTCGGAAATTGAATTTTTAGAACACTTTCAAAATAGACGAATATGGCTTCAGCAGCTGAAACACCTATAGCATCCAGTAGACATGAAAGTTATAGGAGACGACCATAAATGCTACATGGCAAGGCATGCCATGGTCAGATGGTAGGCATGACAAACCAGTAATACAGAATACTGGTCCTTCCCAAACTTTAGTCGTTGATTATGCACAGAGCGTTGTTCAGAGCGGAAGATGTATAAATACATGATATAAAAAACAATTCAACAAGGAAACTATTGCAACAAAATGTTTTGAGTAGACTATCAGGATTGTCTGATTAAAAAACTAACTTTGGTTGACTGTCTTGATTCAATGAAGGTCTTTTACTTCCATTTGTTTTGTTCATTCTCGAAATTGAATTACTACTAGAACTAGCCATACTGATAATATTAATAAATTTCTTCCAATTGTAAAACAACAAGCTATCAACAGTGGTACACTGATACAGACAATACAGACATAGACTACCATAAACAATGGATCATTGTTCAATGTTTACAGTATGGTGTCATGTTTCAGTGTTCCCAATTACTATAAAATTTACCTCTTGCCAACTAACGTTATACACTGGTGTAGCCAAATGCGCCGCGAAAAACTAGCAGATTGTTAAACATAACTAAAATATCCTTGAATATGTAACATATTGCATTTACCAAAAATGTTTTATTGTTTCTTATTTTAAATGCTGTGTATATGTCAGTGAATTCATTTTACCTTCCCATACTTTCTATGGACCGTTCCCCGAGCATCGACTTCCTTGTTTACTTCGTGACATTGGCCAATCAGCAAGATGCAAAATGTGACGTAACAAAGCTCCCCTTTCGAATCCGCTCAGAAAGATTTTCAAGCGTGGTCATAAACATTACCTCGTTTTCGCTTTTTTGTACTCTATTTGTTAGTTTTCAGTTGTGTTTCGGAAACACAAATATAAATCAGATAATTCAATGGACACTTTGTTTCCCTAGGAGTTTTAATTCAATTGCAGTAATAAAAAATTAGTGTAGAAATAGCTGTGATAGACTAGGCTAAAATTCTTTACCAGTACGTCTAAAAAACGAATTGTTGTATGCGATGAATCCTACTGATGGTTTGAAACACATACCCTATTTTACAGGCGTCTCGCAAAGGCACTCTTGAAATAGCTCCGAAAATTTTCCAATGGTGAAGTATAGGAAGAATTTTCCGGGGGTCAAAGGGCGGGGAAAGGGCTGCAATTTCACGAGCTGCAGTGTATTTATCTGCTAAATCGAGTTTAGCGCGAACATGAGTTCTTTTGAAGCAAGCAGTAGAGTCGTATATTTCACAAAAAAATATTCCTGCTTGTCCGAGAATGCCAGTTCTTTAAATAGCGTCAATTTCAAAATCGCCATTCAGATATGTGAAATTGTTGACGCGACTCAGACAGAAAATCAATAACATTGACTCCTTTATTGGACACGTCAGTGTACATACCGATCGTTTCAATATTATGTTGTTGTTGTTAATATTATTATTTATCGATTTTAATCGGTAAGTATGTTGATAGGTATTTGTCTGTTAGATGCATGCGATATTTCACGAAAGCGAGATTGAATCTGCTCCAGATTTTGCATGTGCATTCATAATATGTCGGACCAGAAGTCTATTGATTTTGGATAAATTATGTCGTATAATTAGCGAGTTAATAATCAATTAGTGCTGAGACACAAGGTGTCACTGTGGAGTAAGAGCGCTGTTTTGGGGATCCCCTCACTTTCGATCAATAAGTCTTCGGTCTCTGACCGATATTCTCGTTATTAGTATTATTCTTCTCTTTCGTCAGGATGAAATCGCTTTTCTCTTCGAATACTGAACCAATTGCTGCGAAATTTTCAGTGGTTGAAGATTGATTTATTTCCCAGAAGAATATTACTTTTATACTTATTTCAAAAATTTCTGTGGACTTCAAGAGATTCGTTTTTTTGTGACAGAATAAAAAATAGCGACCACTTGCGACGTGTCCATATATTTGAGAACAGCTCTCTTGTAATGACTTATTATTGGTTCAGCATGTGCTTTCAATCATACACACTATCCTGGCGCTGTGTTGTTTTGATAATATGATCTCGACTGCAACATACTTGGCAGTGGTATCGAGATTTTTTAAACGTGAAAAAAACGTAAAATTAATGGTAATTTTAACGCGTAACGGCGCGCATTAGATTGTTTACGTCTTTCTACACGCATTTCCGTCGTAAAAAGTAAGTCTTTGTTTATATATTTATACTGAAAGGCTTCGGCCTAGGCCGGCACCTTACACGTACAGGTCAACCAACACTGCAACTGCTATTACGAACCAAAAAATAGTAGACAGTCATGCTGATGAAATCAAGGATACCGATAGCCTACCGTATGTCATTAAGGAACATTTCGTCATCGATACCATGTTGCATTTTTATAAAAGAGAATCTATTAGTGGATTATTTTGATAGACTAACTATGGGTAAACGCTGCACCTATGGTATTTGCCGGTCTGACAACCGGTACCCCTGCCGGACAAATGGTGTAGGATTTGTACCTTTTCCGAAACCACATATCGACCGTCAAAAAGCAATGAGGTGGATAAAAGCATGCAACAGGCCTAACAGTAAATTCAATCTGGGAAAAATCACCAGAAATACCTACGTGAGTACCAAGGTGGGCCAACATATATTAGGCCTGATTACATGTCCATCAAAACCAGTCTAGCGAACCGGTTCGGTCAAAGTAGTCTCGGAGACCACTTAGCGCCCTCGATTACATGTCCAAACCAACAAAATGAGAATAGTTTTAGAGTTGCCGGATTAGAGCAAATAAGTCATGATTTGCAAACACTGCATGTATTTTATTTTCAATAAATTCAATATAATGTTAATTAAAGTATCAAAATTAAATGCACGTTCTTTGAAGTTATTTGCAGAATATGATGAGGGATTGCGTTCCCGTTGAAATTTGCCCACAATCTAAGAACAAAACGACAAATTTATTTGGGGCATAAAAGATAGTCGGTTTAGATCATTTTGGTCGACCATCCTGCGTTAAACGTTGCAGACTACTGGCACCTTACACCACACGATCTATTAAAAAATTACGGTAGGCCTACAGTCACCAGTAGTCTACTGGCAGACTGACAACCAAATTAAAACAATTACATTTTATCAACCAAACACTTGTGTGAAGTGGGCTCATCATATGTAAACAGAAACACTTTCATTATTTAATATTGCTCCACTACTGCAACGTTACCGACACTGAAGCTTCGAATTTGTGCCGGTAGGTCTATGTGCAGTAAGGGTACCGTACCGGTGCAGCTAGGATGAGGTATGGCTGTATGGTGCAATTCCAAAAGAATTATCAATGCAAACTGAAGTCGTACTGCGCTCAGTTTATACCAATAAATCTTTGGACATCAAGATTTAATTCTCTGTTTCAAAACAACAACTATCATGCCAATATGCCGCACCGGGATCCCACCAGTACCGGTATTTCAAATTTGTGTTCAACAGCGACACAATGGATGCGGAAGATGTTTAAATTAAACTTGCCCCATCTAGCTAAATTTATATTAGTTTGAAAAATCAACTCACTTACCAGAGATGAAAAAGAAAACAACTTCCGTACCCCTTCGATTACGGCGATTCACGATTTTTCGAGTAGCACGGCGAAGCAACTGAGCAAGACCGGTTGTCCGTGAATAGGATTGTAAAATGAATTCAATTCTATTATTTTGTTGTGCTCAAAAGCATGTAGGGCCTATCTGGTGTATGGTGGCCCATCGTTGTCACGCGTAAAATTGAAAATAAAAATAAAATAAAAAACTGAAAATAAAAAAATAGTTGTGAAAAAACATAAAAATAATTGAAGAAAAATGATAAAAAAAATTAAAATTAAAAAAAAAAAAAATTGAAAATAAAAACGAAAAAAAAGAATGGAAAAAAAAAATTTAAAAAAAAAAAATTAAAAAAAAAAAAAAAAAAAAATTGAATAAAAAGAAAATAAAAAGGTTGACAACGATGGTCCGCCTCGTGGCCCATCGTTGTCACGCGTTTTTATTTTTAGAAAATTTGCTTCTGCTTGGGACCAACGTTGTCAGGCATAATCCTACGCGCACAAATGTGTTCCCTGGGTTTCCAACTCACTACTGATTTTCTTGAGCAATATTCAATATGAAAATGTTCTATAAATTCTTCATGCTACAAGTTCAACAAGACGTAATATATTTATAATAATGATAAGAGAATATAGAATTGAATACGAAAATTCGGAAAATTTGTTTTTACGTGTAGAAGTTAATTGAATTGGAGAATGCTGCTCAACTACTCAGTTGTCTGGACACTCGCGATGCCGGTACCGTACCGTCTTACCAAATACCGGTAGTCGGTTATAGTCCCTTTGCGTCTGACCGTACCGGTAGCCATGCAATCACTCATGAAAGAATGGGAGATACGGATAGTCTCGTAGAATATAGACTACTGAGACACTCTCTGCGCCTGCCCCATACCGTACAGACGTAACGTACCGATCCAGACAAATGATAAATCGCCCGTGCTCAACCATTTATTTCAATCCATACCTCGATCCTAGTAGAATATAGTGAGTCGAGGTATGAATTGAAATAAATGGTTGAGCAAGGGCGATTTATCATTTGTCTGGATCGGTACGTTACGGCTGTACGGTATGGGGCAGGCGCAGAGAGTGTTTCAGTAGTCTATATTCTACGAGACTATCCGTATCTCCCATTCTTTCATGAGTGATTGCATGGTCAGACGGTACCGTACCGACATCGCACAAGTGTCCAGACAACTGAGCAGTTAAGCAGCATTTTCCAATTAAATTACCTTCTACACGTAAAAACAAATTTTCGTATTCAATTCTATATTCTCTTATCATTATTATAATTATATTGCTTGTGGTTGAACTTGTAGCATGAAGAATTTATAGAATATTTTCATGTTGAATTTATTAAATATTGCTCATGAAAATCAGTAGTGAGTTAGAAACCCAGGAAACACATTTGTGCGTGTAGGATTAAGCCTGACAACGTTGGTCCCAAGCAGCATCAAATTTTCTAAAAATAAAAACGCGTGACAACGATGGGCCACGAGGCGGACCATCGTTTTCAACCTTTTTATTTTCTTTTTATCTAATTTTTTTTTTTTATTTTTTTTTTTTTTTTTTTTTTTTTAATTTTGTTTTTTAATTTTAGGTTTTTTTCCATTTCTTTTTTTTTCAATTATTTTTATGTTTTTTCGCAACCATTTTTTTATTTTCGCTTTTTCATTTTATTTTTTCATTTTTTTTTTTAATTTTACGCGTGACAACGATGGGCCACCATACTGGTGTGTATTTTTGTCCTATACAATACAATATCTGGAAAACTATAATTTGTAGTAATTTTCTTGGATTTACTTGTTTGTTCCTTCATGATTTATTTTTTATAATCTGGTATATTCTATTTCTGCATTCTACACTGCATATATATTGTAAAATCTATCAGATACATGGCTTAGGGCTTAGCAAGAAACTGCAGACGACAAAACTGTTGGATCTATTTTGTTCCCTCTGGGTTGATGCCACTGCTGGAGAAGGCTTGAACAAGCTTGGCTCAGCAGAAAATATTTTATTCCCATCAATTTCATCTGTTGGTTAGTCCAACGATATGTGAACAAGCACCAGTAGTTCTAATGAATATGTAACAATTTTTAAACTTTCTTTATCACTATAACATTATTGGTCTTGTAATTTTATTCGATCATGTAATTGTAATCGATCATAATACATCAATAAATTTAGTCTTTTAATAGTATATTTGCACCCATCTTTTTGAGCTTATAAACCTGTATTTCTATCATAAACTTACGTGCCCTGACTCTGCCTTGCATGTACAAATTGAACTGATCTATAGCAGCCATGAACTGCACTGATCTATAGCACTTGGCTTTGAACTCTAGCGTTGAACCGTAAATGTATGGTTGACGAAGATTGACGACTATCAGGCGAACGTATCTGAATGAAATACTCATCAAGTTATAAATACTGATTGCAGTAATTTGTGCAATGTTTCCAAAAATGTATTTTAAAATATTGCCTTTGCACTTCATTTTTTTTTTCAAGCTAAATCCACCAATTCAGCCCTAACTTGCCTGTATGGACGTATAAATGGATCCTGCCACAATCCTTCACCCCGAATACAACACACAAGTCATTAAATGAATGTTATATATATTAAATGAAAACAACAACAGACCCCTAAGACTCGGCGGTGTGGCGCATCGTGCTAAGCTCTCTCTCTCGTTAGGAATATGCTTGCCATTGCATCTCTGATTACCTTGCGTGGGTTCGCAGGTTCGAATCTCATTCGGGGATGATTATGTGCGAGAGGATTGCTGGACTCCTCGCCACTGTAGGGTGATTCACGTAACCGCTGGTCGGTTACGGGCTTACGGATTCCTCCACCATCAAGTCCATGCTTCCGAAAATAAATAACTGGCCAACTAATCCCATACCCGACCTGGACTGGTAACCGGACGAGAGGCCGTGGTTCGCCATACGACTAAGCCGTTTTATCGGCTTTCCCCTCCCGCGGGATAAATATGTAAATCATATCCTATCCCTATCCATTAGTCTATGAACTACGGGATACCGGTAGGCACACACGTCTCCCAGTCCTATCACCACCCTCTGACATTCTTCGATCATAGAAGTTTAAATATCACCTCTCAGTGAGAAGTTTTGTATTCTTCTCCTTCTGATGGAAAGCTTTTGGAACTAAATTAGGTACAGTAACGGCAATGTGAAGACAGAATACCGTTAATATTAGATCACTTGGCAACATGTTAAAACTTTAGTGGCACGAAAATACCGCCATCACTAGTGAAATACCATTTTAAGACCTTTAAAACGAGCAACGTACCACACTATCGCCGACCTAAATCAAAACAATAAAGGTCGGGGAGCAAAATTTTCGGGGCTAGTACTTTTGCGAGTTGGCGCCTGTAAAATGGGGTATGTGTTTCAAATCATCATTATGATTCATCGCATACAACAATCTGTTTTTTTTATAAGTACCGGTAAATAATTCCAGGCTAGTCTATCACAGCTATCTCTACACTAATTTTGATTGCTACAAATAAACAAGAGAGCTATGCTCAAATATATGGACACGTAGAGTCACATAATTTTGATGACCTCATAGCGAAAAAAAAAAGTAATAGCCTTCTGGAGAAAATTTTTATCTTTACCCACTGAAAATTTCAAAGCAATTGGTCCAGTATTCGAAGAGAAAAGCGACTTTTTAAAAACGTGTCAAAGAACAAGAACAACAACATAATATTGAAACGATCGTTATGTCCACTACGTGTCCAATAAAAACTACTAGGAAGACAAAGTGATCATTGAATTATCAGATTTTTATTTAAGTTTCCGAAACACAACTGAAAACTAACGAATAAAGTTCAAAAACGAGATAATGTTTACAACCACGCTTGAAAATCTGTCTGAGTGAGAAAAATGTCTGAGCGGATGCGAAAAGGGGGCATTGTTACGTCACTTTTTGTACCGTATTTTGCTAATTAGCCAATGTCATGAAGTAAACAAGGAAGTCGATGCTCGCGGAAAGGTCAATGGTGAAGCATAGGAAAAAATTTTCAGGAGTCAAAGGTCGGCGAAAGGTCTATTGTGACTTCGGGTTCTGCGATTAGTCGTAATTTTGATCTCTTTACCAGTGTTCCGCAGGTTACAGTTTGGGAAACGCTGCTCTAATCACTGAATCCATAGGTTCCCAAAGTGCTCCGTGACCGTACGGAGCCCCAGGGCTGCTAATACAGTAATATGCGTATTTTATGAGAGGGGTTGGTAGCCTAAAAGCCAAAAAGACTTTAGGCTGCCACCACTAATGTATTTTATAGCGAGGAGTCGGGAGTGTTTGTAAAATATTTTTTTATTCAAATTTTTATTATTAAAAATTAATGATTCTCTCCGGGTGACCGGTAGGCGCGGCGGTGTGGCTCAACGAGCTAAGCGTTAGGAATACGCTCGCCACCGCACCTCTAATTACAGAATTACTCTGAGTGGGTTCTCAGGTTCGAATCCCATGCAGGGATGGTTATGTGCGAGAGGATTGCTGGACTCCTCGCCGTCGTTGGGTGGTTCACGTAACCGCCGCTGGTCCGTTAAAGCTTCCTCTACCACCAAGTCCATTCTCCCGAAAAACAAACAATATATATAACTAATCCCATATCCGACTTGCAATGGTAACCGTACGAGAGGCCGTGGTTCGCCATATGGATAAGCCGTCTTATCGGCTTTCCTCTCCCCCGGGATAAATATGTAAATCCTATCCTACTGAATATCTTGAGTGTACAAACTTTGTAAAAGTTAAAAAGTCTGAAAGTTGGTACTGTAAGTTTCAAGATCAGGAAGAAATCCGCAGGATTGACTTGCCAAAAAACTGTTATGCTACGCCTACTAGAAGTACGAAACTACACGAGACCCATAAGTGGTCCATGTATTTTTGAAAACAAATTTATTATAATGCTACCGGTAACACTGTAACAGGTGTGTTTGACTTAGGTAATTGCTATCTTGTTGTATTACTTTTACTTTATATCTTTCGTTGGTAGTTACGATCAATTCTGTCAATCTTATATACCGGTACTGATATAGGAGATAGATACAGTCTGATATTCTACAATAATAAGTCATATTGGGTTGGTACCCATAGTTGATGCTTTGATTTTCTAAAGAATCATTTTTTTCTGAATTCTGAATGGATATTTATAATTGAGAATATACAATCGATAAAGACAAATCTAAACACTCTACTCTAGTATACAAATATTTTTTATTATGCTTCTGTAATTTTTATTTAGAATATGTTCGACATATCAATAAGGATATCTTTTTATTGACTTCATCTATTCTATTGCATTGCAATATAATTACTTATTGGTAAAAATAGATAATATGGGAGATGAGCAGAACAGTCTAGAAAATGATTCAGAAATTGAGGAGAAAATGATGAATACGATTCCGCGCATGCGTGTCATGTATCCAGAAGCAATAACCAAATCAATACAAAGAATAAATGCTTTTAAAGCATCCATCCATCAGAAACAGGTCTTAGAATACAAACTGAAAATTGCAGAAATGAAGGATTACACTACTGACACATCATCTCTGGATTATGCTTTGAACAGAATGAAATCTTCATCGTGGTATAAATCGAGAGACCTTGAATAAAGTTTAAAAGATATAAATGAAAAATACAAAAATCTTAGAAATCACAGAACGACTGATTTCATATCTTAATAATTAACATTTTTAACAGAAAGAGGGTCATTGGTTATGTGATATCCATGCTGCACTTTGTGTTGTATTATCAGAATTGATCGTATTCAAAAATACGTTATTTTGCGTAATATCAATTGAATTTCAAAGTTGAAGACTCTTTTTAATATGGAATATATTGATGATATACAAAAATAAATTTGTTTTTTCAACAATTACATTTTACTATGGTGCTGTCACATTATCGATATAAAAAACTTAGGTTGTTGAATATAATTTTTTTCTATAAAAGCCACTGCTAAAATGTTATAGCACTTCAATAATATTCTATAGATTGAAAAATAAATTCACATTTTTCATCAATGTTATCACTGCCTACAGTTAATGTTGTTAGTTTTTAAACCTTTTTCATCATATTTTCTGGTTGAATGTACTTAATTGCTTATTTTAAAAAAAAAAAATTGTCAATATCGACAATGTACCGCGTGTATGTATGTGTGTATATTTTTCAGATAAATTGAGGTAATGTAGCATAGCAAATCTAAATATGCATGACGAATCTAATACCTCAGCTTGGATTTGCCCTAATGATCGTCATTTGGCACTCAGAGCTAAGTTGAGGTAATTATAAATACAATAATAATAATCATTGATTTGAAGAACAAAATTAGGTTTTTACCTATTCACAAATTTTGACAAATTTTTGCAATTTTCAAGCTTGACTGATAATGAAATGGGTTAGAGATATAGTTAAAACTTGTTCATTGAATGAATAATATTTTCACTCCAAATCATTTATTGCTGTTTAATTTCGTGAAAAAGCAATCATACACCATACTTAATTGCCTCCCCTTTCGTGGTTGTAACCTAAAAAGCAAAAGTTGAAAAAGCTCTCTTGTGAAAATGGGAGAAATAACAGTTTTTCTTGTGTTATTGTCAGATGATAATCTTTTAATAGCCAATGGACTTTGTGCTGCCACACTTGGGTCATGATATATGCTGTATGCGCATATTTAGAAAAGTTATTAATGTAAAAAAAATAAGACTTATTAATTATATTTAGGTCAGGATGGTCGGTAAGAACAAATCAGTTTGGTCGAACAGAATCAAATTCTCTATCTCATGATGAATTAGAAAAGATACGAAATGTAATAAATAAAGCAAAAATGTTGGAAGAAACTGAACAGGAAAGGGTCGGGTATGAAATTCAATAATTTTGATAAATAAGACTTTGATTTTGGTTGCCGATGGCATTCATGCATCAGTCGTAAATTTTTAATTTTTTTTTTTAATTTTGATTTTTGTGTGTTATCTTGATAGATGAAATGGCAAACCATGGCGTTTTTCTAGTTTCCAGTTCAGATCAGGCATGGAAATAGTAATTCACCAATATTGATTGATTGGGAAAGCCATACCTCACGAGCGGTTACGTAAACCACCCTGCAACAGATAAGAGTCCATCAATCCTCATATCCTCTCACACATTTTTTCACACAGTATTCATATCTCTAAATCCATGCGAGGTAATTCGAGGTGTGGTAAAATGTATCAAACATTGAACCTAACTCAGTTTGTCTATTGGTTTATAAAGTCATTTATTATGTTCATCTCTAGGTCACTCGTGCATCACTTGAACATAATGCGACAGAATTCAATGGGAGATGGTCAAGCAACTTGCATTCTGTGTGCAGAACAGTTTGGGAAATTTTCGAGAAATGCACCAATCATTTGTATGGATTGTAAGAAGGTAACTCTGCTTGTCAAATTGCCAAATTTGAAAAAAAACCTTCAATCTTTTACGTGTTTAATGACAGTTTCTATTTTGAGTGCAGTGATTGTTCCTTGTAATTCATATTATTATAAGTCTGCTATATTGTAATTATCTTAGCTTAGACTAAGCCTAATTCTCCTGTGTATTACAATGGCGGTAGCCCAATTCAAATTTTATCTGAAATACTATCATTAAAATTAAAATAATTTTCCACTTTCTTCGCGACAGAAAGTCTGCAACAAATGTTGTGTGGATTATGATACAGGACAACAACATATAAATGGAAAACAAAGTTCTGCTCAGGTAGGCCCCATTACTTCAATATATTGATAGTAACCGTTACTTTTTTGATCATACTTACTTACCTATAATCTTTCAAATTGAGCCTTTCTTCACGCTAAAGTTCATACTAATAATCATTAGATATTTGTTATCCAATTATTGAGTATCAAGGTTATGATTTCTGACAATTTCATCTAATTGATTGTTATTCTTCATTCTTGTCCTCCGTATTTCCTATTACCGGTAATTAATTACAGCCCAATCACCCATACATTTTTATTTATTTATGTATATACTTTAGGTGACCAAGTATGTATGGTGCACTAATGATAAAAATTATGGATTTTTAAATAGTGGGAATTATTTAAATTTTACTCGTTGGATTCACCAATTTAAAATTACAGTTTACAAAAAATTGTTAGATATTAAAATCTGAAAGATATAGAAATTTGTGTTTTGCACTCATTGAGGGCATAATCTTACTTCATACTGCCAAATATTTTGTTGCCTACCTATAAGTACAAGTATTTGTATAGTAAAATTACATTCTAATATTACATTCCTCCCCATTATGGAAAGTCCCAACCCCTGCATGAGGGTATGTTAAAATACTTTGGACTTTTGTAAGAAAAATTCATAAACCTATTGTGGATTGCAATGTACCATCGAAGATACATTTCAAATTGAGATCAAGAATTTATTCTACAATCTACAGAGTGATTAAAATATTTTTTTTGTTACTTCATATAAAGCATACCTGAGCTGAGATGCATATTATACTTTTACAGAATCTATCTATGAATTGGTTATGTAAGATCTGCAGTGAAAATCGAGAACTTTGGAAACGTTCTGGTGCATGGTTCTTCCAATCACTTCCAATGTATGTTTGCTTTATCGTTATTAAGTAATATATTTTGTGTGAACTTTTGTTGGATTTGGGAAATTGCAAACAATGAAGTATTTTACTTCATTTCATACACCTTTATATGCCAAACATTATTTGCACGAAGCACACTTTTATTTCCTAATTTAATTTAGGACTTCAAGAACACTCAAAAAATTTCCTTTCAGCGCTTGTTTTGTATTAATTAGAATTATCATGTTGGTAATATAAATGTCTTCCATATTTCTACTAGATTGCCAGACTTTATAAATAACAATCAAATATGCATAATATTTCATTTTGTTTTAGATACAAGTTGCCGAATTTCAGGCATTCCGATGTTGACCATATTGAAAGAAGGCCTCAACGACGACCTTATGTCCCTGAAGTCATTGATTCGCCTAAAATGCATAGGAAAGATGTTCTTGCTCTTCCAGATTCACCGGTTGTGGGTGGCAAAGGGCATCGTAGGACGGTTTCTGCTGGTTCGACTGGGTCATTTCAATGGACTAAGCCATCAAGTATGTCCAAATTTCGACAAATATTATTATTGAAATTGTAAATGTGTCATTGTAATGAAAACTAAATATTGATATAATTGGATTTATCTGATCCATATGTATTAGTTCCACAATTCTCTGACTGATCTTTGTTTGAAACAGGAAATGTTTGATCATGCAAATGGAAATCATTGACTATGTCACAATCAACTATTTTACATATCAATATAGTCACAATCAACTATTTTACATATCAATATAATATTAAAAAACGTCATTGTAAACTACAATATAGATGAATTTTTGGATTATAAAACCCCTATTTTTGGATTTTAGAGATTCATTTGACAAGTAGTTCTGAGTTTGAAGAAAGCTCATCAGATGACGATGGAATAACTTTAGGAAAAACTAATAAATCATCAAATATGCAACTGAGTATGTATTATTCAATGTACTGCATTTATGTTTGTTTTATTATACCTGATTTCCAACCAAAGACAAATATAGTCGTACTTGTGAAGGAATTTCGCTTTGTTTTTGGGGTAATATTACTGATATTTTTAGTTCTTTATTATTACCAAAATACTTTGCTTCTAAAAAAGTTTGCATGCATAGTGAGGAAGAAATAAAGAGAGAATAGAGGCCGAAAATTTGGGAAGACTTTCTTTTCAATCAAACCGTTACCTTATCTTGTATCAGAAATTGAAGTATTTTATTTTACTTCAAATTTGACATGATCATAATTTTTGGATCTTTCGTTAAAATTTTCAAATCTTTTTAAAATATTCAAGTGATTGTACTTGGGGTATTGATCATCAATCAACATGTTTTCCCAATTGAGCCTTTTTTTTACAATTGTGATTGGTGGCTAGGGCATGTAATTTATTACAAATCCCTAAGGATATTAGCAACAAATTCACGCTTATATTAGATTGTCCTCCTGCTGTTTGCGTGTTTAGTAATCTCTTTATGGATTTCTATGCTTATTGAACCTACCTTGTTTTATTCATGTCATTATTCTTTTTTTCATACTTACCGTAGGTTGGCCTATGTATTAGATTATGACGTATTGATTGAATTTAAAATAATATCATTGATCTTTAGAATTAAGAATAAAAGAAATAGTAGACTGTGAAATGAATTGATTTTGAAATTTGATTATTCTCATTGGATGTTTTTTTTATAAAAATTGTAAGTTTTTCGAAATTATGGCTTTCAGTTCAGGCATTGTTGAAATAAGCGTAATCAAATTAACTATCCAGCTATGATTTTTTAGCAATCACATGAACATGATAATATTTATTAATAAGTACCGTAGTATTCAAGTTATATATTGGAGTCTTTGATGAATTGTGTTATTTTTTGAACAAAAGATAGAAGAGAGTATTTATAGTAACGGAATGTAACATTTTAAATATGATACATGTGGCCTATACACTGACGTCGAATTATCAACCATGGAAATTAGAAAATTCCTATTCTTAAGTGATATTAAATATTTATTACAGTCCAATCACCCATAAATTTTTATCTATATATGGATATACTTATAGTGACCTAAGTATTCATGGTCCAATTATGATTAAAACTATGGATTTTTACATGGTGAGAATTATTCAAATTTCACTCTTGGGAATCAACAATTTAATATTACAGTTTACAAAAGAATTGTTAGTTATTGAAATCTGAAAAATATGAAAATTTGTGTGTTTGCACTCATTGAGGGCCAAAGCGTAATCTTACCGGTACTTATTTTATTCTGCCAAATATGATGTTGCCTACCTAAAAAGTAAGGGATAAATCACTATCAAACAGATCAGTCAATAAATATACATTTTTCATGATTATTAATATTCAATTGGCAAATTTATTCGCAAACATTCGATATGTTTATTTTAGGCTTGGAATATATATATATATATAAAACTGAATTGTGTAATAATTAATTAAGTATTTTGAGAATTTGATTGTTAAAAAAGTGATTTATAGCTGACTAACTAGTAACAAAATAAAATTGCTTCCATTGAACGACAGGAAATGCTTAGCATAATTGTGAGTCATAAATAGAAACACACTGACACTTCTAAATTTGGTTATTTTGGTATTGTTTTATATTGAATGGGTTTCATCACATTCGTAACGCAACGTCTTAACATAATTCAGTTAATTTCACTATTGCGTATTTTAAAGATTTATGGTAAAATGGACATATCCATAGCTTCCCAATATCTGTTATTTTAGTGTTTGATAATGAATTGAAATTTCAGTCTAAAAGTTTCTAAATTAAATTGTAAATCCAACTAATTGAATCATTTTATTGGAGATTCCATTTTTTGAGCATTTCTATTTTTACCCGAGACATTTCCATAAAGGACTTAACATTGAAAATAGCATTGTGACATTTTCCCCAAGTTTTACACTGATTACAGTGATGATTATTCTCAGAGAATTTGGAGAATTTGGGACAATTTCCCTATAATATGCTAGCAATTGTCTCATTCAGAAATAAACATAACCAGATATATTGTAATTTTAGGCTTGCTTCGGGGGTTTGCAATAATCTATTTTGCTGAATCATTTGTGATATAATATGAAGTATTGTTTTTTCAAAGTCATTTCATATATGTATTGAATAACATCACACAAATATTACGTCACAATTTGAAACAGAAAGATGAAATGAGTAATTTTTGAGGTCAGGCAACATACATATTTAAAATGTCCCAACACTGACATGCGGTGTCATTTTTCTGGGTAAAGTAGGCAGAAAATTATTTGAATGTCTAAAATTGTCCCAATATGACCCAAAACTGATCCATTTCACATAAAAAATTAATGGCGGTCGGCCGTAGAATAACCTACCTAATGACATCGTTAATTATTTATTTTTTAAAAATTGTCACGAAAATTTATATGTGTATCTTACACAAGGCTTTAAATCGAATACCAAAATCAATATGCTAATGTAATTTCTCACATGATCGAGAATGTTGATGTACAATGAGTATTTTATTAATTAAGGATTAGAATTTTTTAATCACATTAACGAATGAATTCGTGCCGAGTTGGCTTAGTGGTTAGAGCAGTGATTTCCAACCTTTTGGTGGCGTGAAACCCCAATGAAACATTTGAGAAGCTCATGAAACCCCTTTGCGATAGTTTGCAACAATTATTGTCTGAATTGTATAAACTATATTGTATACATATTTAATAGCAAACTTAATACTGTTAAGTAATGGTTTTCAAAATGTAGCAAATTTATTAACACCACTGGCCAACCTAATAGGTATTTGATCATATATAAACAATGGATTATCATATATGAAAGTATACATAACATGAGTATATTGAAAGTTGAATTAAATGTTTAATTGAATTACTTTTATGGTGTATGCGACAATATTGCAAATGTATTCTACAGACATATTATTGAGTACAGCTATTGTATTTTATTTTGGTTGAATTCTGTCCTTTTTTTTCAAAGGGAGTATTGATACAATCAGTCTCACCAGCAGCACAAGTGCCACAAGTACAGGGCAACAATCAACAGGAAGTTCAGGTACCTTCCTAAATATTTTCTTGTTATCATGAACAAATTTGTTAATAATAATGTCATCAGTAGTGTAGGGGTATCATTGCGTTCATTACGCTTCATTGGTCCTCAGATTTGAATCCGTAGTGATTCACGGTTTACAAGAATATTACGGAACTCCCCACATTATCTTGGGGATATTCACTGGTAGGTTTTAATTTGCTCTACCATCATCACCAAAGTCTATGCATCCGGAAGTCTACCGCACTGGCAACTGAATAATAGGAGTCCATAGTTCGCCATATAAGTGAGATTTTTGGATTTACAGAATTTCATTTTATTCATCATCTGACATTACTGATTACGGTTGGACGTTTTTAATATAATTTCATGTTTGTAATAGGTGCTCATGATTTAGCTTCAGGCATATTGCAAGAAAAAGTAATTAGTTATTCAGGAATATTAGATAACGTCCACTCATGAGTATGTTTGTTCGTGCTCATTGAGTAATTTATTATTGATATTATGTTTCCTTGCTTATTAACCCTCTTGAGATGTTGGATAATCTGAAATCAATGCATAGATTATATATTTATAGATTTTTATAACACCACGAATTAGAAGCTTACAATGCTGTTTACCAATCCACCTTGTCTGTAGGGGTTGTCTACATTACCTAAATAGTGTAAATAATGGAACTAGTGTTCAGCTTCAATTGACCTGGCGATTGACCTTTGAGTGTTATGCTAAAATTGGCATTGCAGTTGCAGGTTTGAGTTTAAATCTCATGCCCACCATATTTGGTATTCCGGTCCTTTCAAAAAAAGAATCTCCTTATGTATCAGTAAATATCAATGGAAGTTTGTACTAGACCATGATCGAAGCGATGGGCGTGAATAAGGGTCACTTGAAAAAATTTTTTATCGTTCAAGTTCTGTGGATATCCAAAGAAATATGTTAATAAAACTGGAAATTGAAACATCGCTCTTTAGAAAAGTATGTTTATTATACTTGGAGTACTTTGGCAAACCCAATATATTGATTTAAAATAAACTGTGATATATATTATATAGAAATGATATGAACAAAATTCTAGAATATTTAACTATTTAGTTTCCAGTTTGTTTTGTCTGTACTCAAGGAGTTATCTGCATATTCTCACAAGATGTAGTTTTGTTTACCCTATGCTCAGGCAGTTAGAAATGTCCTTAAATGTATTAATTTTATTTTTTCAACTTTTTACAGTGTCTCGTCGATCATCTGGTAGGAGAACATTCCGTGGTAAACAGCAACAAAAACCTGAATTTCCTAAAGTTACAGTGACGGATGAATATGACACCGTGTCCATGGATAGTGGGGTGACAGATAGATCTGTAGAAGGTAGAGCATGAAGACTAATTACTTATCTATTCTTATATTTACTATTGACTTCTGTTTTTGTTTAAATTATGCCTAATAATTACTTGTTTAGTTTGTGGTTTGGAATACCTTGAAGCAACTTGAAAATTGTCATTGGTTTACAACAGTGGTTCTCAAACTTTCTAAGCTGCTCCCCACCTCAAAAATAACTAGCCAACAAAGGGCTAACAGATAGTAAGGCAAAAGTATGTTTTATTCAAAAAACATGTTGAAAATACCTGGATGGAACGTTAATAATGAAATAAATGAAAAGTGTTGAAATCTAAATATCCAAAATAAGTGCAAGCGAAATACAATCTAACAAATATTTTTATTTTTAAATATCCTCACACCCCCTCAAAAAGTTGTCTACGCCCCCCTTATGGGCCCCACACCCACCATTTGAGAAGGTTTACATCTATAAGAGTTGGCATATTCATTTACTGTGAGATATCCAAACGATCTAGTAATAGTCTTCTGTTTTTTTTTAAATTGCATTTTAGTTTATTGTTGGACACTAACAAATTTTATATTTATCAGTTGGTGGTGCGCTTTTATCATGGTGATATTTCATTGCTTGTCTATCTGATATCACTTTCTACCTACACTTCTGTTTTACTTGATAACATTTCAGATGACAAACTAATGACTGACATGTCTACGTTGCATGGGGGTTCTGTATCTAACGAAGATGCTAAATCTATATCGGGTGGTAAAGGTCAGATATTTTCTCGGTTTTACTAACCTCCTCATTATGGGATTTCGGCAGCAAGACTTTTTAATCACTTAGGATAGTTATATTTACTCTTGCTACAGCATCCTTATTATATGCATACGGATCCGCCGGCACAAAAGTATAGACGAATGATAAGTAGTTAGTCACGCAGAAACCATATCATTAGCGCAAGTGGTTTAAACTTGTGTTATTTATGGTTTTACAAAATGCTCATTCTGTTTTTATTATCATTTGAAGTCGTGTGTTTCATGCCTAATGAGAACGGAGAATTTTAAATCCCTCCAACTAAAAAGATAAAACTAAAACTAACTAAAAATAATTTAGAGTTGACTTATATTGGTGTTAATATTTCCATATTTTTAATAATTGAAATTAATATTAAATGGTAAGAAATTTAGCAACATTTTATTGTAGAAGTAGATTTTTCTAGAATATTTGAAATCAATTGGAATTTGTTTAGGATTCTTCAAATACCTAATAGATCTATTTGATTTAGAAAACAGAGGAAATCTTGAGTTTTCGATTCTTTATGATCCACTCAAATGTGCTCTCCAAGTTGAACTTATCAGAGCTAAGGTAAGTTAGACTATATATTATATTACTAATAGACTAAATAACTCTTTAATACCCCTAGTTGATTGGGTACTCCATAGTGTGTGTACCAGGTTAGAGTTAGGCCATAATTTTATTCCGATTTTCATTATTTTACTTCTATTGCGAGTTCGGGGAGTGTCTGTGTTAGCTCAGTGAATATACCCCCTGCCCATTGGTTTCTGTTCCTTTACACAACTTGATGTATAGTAGACGAACAAAATTAGTTACCGTATAGGCCGAGTTTAAAACTCAAAAAAAAAAGTTGCCAAACTAAGGGACCGTCTTATTCGCGCATAGCTCAGATTGCATCAAAAAATCGGCTCATTGGCGCATCAGAATTTGATCACGCAACGAGATGATATTATGCTGACTTGCCGGTACTTCCAAAAGCTTCAAACCATACCAAGTTCTCACGATAAAAAGCGTGCACGCACACACACAATCGCTTGTGAAGGTGGATTGTCTTATCATACAGCTGATGGCTTGTACAGTCTGTGATTGGTTGTTTAACATGTGACGCTTGTACAGTCTGTGATTGGTTTGTTTTCGCTCGCTTGTGCAATAGTGTCGATTTATGGCCAGTTGTTTCGTGGTGAAAACGTTATTATATCGCCGTAGAGGCAATTAACGGCGCACAACTTTTAATCACCTTTACGATATGTTATCCGATAAGGGGCGGTGATAAGGACTCTTATCGAAATTAACCGCGTCGTGGACGATCAAAGGAAATTGTTTTATGCTGACTCAGGGACTCTCTTAAACTCCCGACAACAATCCCTTCCATTAATACAAATCACGACGCATGAAAAGCAATATAGACTTTATTAACATGAATTTACAAGTAAGAGTTACGAGTAAGAATCTACGGCCGTCGCTAACAAACAGAAATAATAAACATGAGAAATATTTGTGTTACAGCAATTTTGTTTTCTTTCTGCGCCTTTCTTAAGGCGTCTGGCGTGTTGAGAATTGTAGCGATTTATAAGAATGTGACAATACAGCGTTATTTCTTTCCTTGAAACGGACACGGAACGAAATTAATCGCCGTTGTGGCGATCAAAGGAAATTGTTTTATGCTGATTCAGGAACTCTATTTTAAACTCCTGACACAATCACGACGCACTGAAAAGCAATATAGACTTTATTTAACATAAATTAACAAGTAAGAGTTACCGGTAATAATCCACCTACGGCCCTCGGTAACATGCAGAAACGATAAACGTGAGAAATGTTTGCTTTACAGTAATTTTGTTCTCTTTCTACGTTTTTTTTGAGGCGTCCGGCGTGTCACGATTCGTAGGACCGGCTCATGTGCGATTTTTTATGAAATCGTCGTTTTTAGGGAGTTGGCCTATTCGCGATATGGGCGTAATTTCGAGTAAATACGGTACCTCCATATTGGGGACCTCCACAAAAGTATGTGCACCAAGATGGCGCACAACCTGAACATAGTATGTGTACCAGATTAGGGTTCAGGTTGTGCGCCATCTTGGTGCACATACTTCTCGAGCGCCCATATTGGTACACAATACACACGCTTCTGGAGCGCCGTTGATTGATAATATCTTTACTTTTTGTTCTTGATTTTCATACATGTTTCATCAAATTGTAATATTGTAATTTCTCTTTTGTTTTAGAATCTGATTGCAATGGACGCAAATGGGTTGTCTGATCCATATGTCAAACTTCATCTTCTGCCAGGGGCTACCAGGGTATGTATATTGTCATCAGTTGCAATGTTGGAATTTGTTATTAACTTGTGTAACTGTTGTGTGTGAAAATATATTAATAAGTAAAATTAATTGTGTGTTTTTAACATAAGTTTAAACAATTTTCTGCGATTGGATTGATATTGATATTGATATATTTGAGGTTTTGGACTAAGAACCATCAATTTTCTCTATTCAGAAATTTTAGTTGTAATTCATTACATATGTGGATTTTCCAAAATTTTAAATCCATTTCAAAAACAATAATAGGCTTGAAAATGTGGTGGAACACAAATAAATGCTAATGTTCATGTTGCAATATGTATGTATATGTTTAACATGAGGTAATAGGAGATATATAATAATGAATATCAGGAATTAATGGGACGCCAGGAGGCTTCCCTGGCTGACGCTCACAAAACATAACAAAACCATATGACAGTAATTTCAGAACATTTACTTTACATTTGGAGTGCAGGTACTTTAGGTACAAAATCGTTTTTCAAGTTTTGTAAATCATGGCATTTTTATCAATAACCACACGCCTGGTTCAATTAAATCATTGGCTTCATGTTATCTCAAGATCCCAACAATTTATCACTCAGCCACTATGAGGCTACCAGCTTTATAAAATGTTAGTGTAGCTCATCTTACCCAATTTTCTACATCTTTGTAAATTATTGGAAATCTGCAAGCCACGTCTGGAATCCGAGATGTTTGGTAACCTCATTGCAAAATAGTTAGACCAGTGGTTTAAGTTACTGGGTCATTGTTGTTCCGCAGTCTTTTTTATATTTATTGGGGCTTACTGTTAGGATTAAATTTACTTATATTTATATTAACTAATCGATTATTGTGATACTGTTTCAAAAAGGATAAAAAAGCAGATGTAAGTATTATCTCGTAGAGAGATAGATTTGGTGATAATGATCTAAATACCTGATAAAAATTATCCTTTGCCAAGTTTAAACCATAGATGGCACATCATGCTTCATTGATGGACTAACCTTGGCTCGGGGTAATTTGGTATAAATACATCAGTTTATTGTAACATATAACCACTGATGTATGCTTGCTTGATTGTAGTTTCATTTTTCTAACATTAACAAATGCATGAGATTGGGAACATAACTTGGAGGATTTGTTTTATATTGTATTTTGATGCCTTCGGGGCTCATCAAAAACCTACATATGGTGTTCTAATCATTTATAAAACGTTGATGTTCAGCTATTGTTGTTATATTCAACTACGCTTTTGCCTCTGACATGTCCATCTGATTACTGTTCTCATACTCAATCTGCACTTATAACAAGACATAGGTCCTTTACCTAAGCAGTGTTATACCCCATAGGTTTTTATACATCAAACGTTTTCTTAGTATAATTGACAATGAAAATGGGTTTTCAAGATTTTAATTCTTAAGATTTTCAGACAATTTTTTTTTTTGCTTTTTCTTGTATCTATGTTTGAGACAACGATGATTCATATGTTCCAAAAATAGATCATTTTAACAAATCTTAGTGACATCATAGCTTAGACCAGTGTTTCCCAACCCGAGTCTGCGGTCTCAAATGAGTCCTTTCTTGAGTGCTTTCATCTCGTCATAAGTCAACGCAACCGCGAGTGACCATGAACACAATTAAATTAAAATAGGAATACATTTTAAATTCTTGTCGTTGTCAAGGATTGAAGATTGTGCAACAAAAAAGGTCATTTATACACCAAAAAAGTGGGCCCTTTTAACAAAGGCGTAATTGCGTAGCGTTTCCGATTTTGAAATTCGGAAAAATTCTGTTGTGTTTAGTTTTATCACTTCCTCACACAGAGTACGGTTGCAATACGTTGAGTCCGCAAAGGTTTTCGACAGTGAGAAAATAGTCCGCGACCAAAAAAGGTTGGGAAACACTGGCTTAGATTTTTGGTGAACTTTTAGAGATTCAAACTTTTATTATGGTACTTGTTGATTCTGTACGATAAATGTTAATATAATTTTTCTTTTGTTTTAAATGGGACCACTTCTAACATAAGGATAATAAATTGTTTATGGAACATATCTGAACAAAATTTGTGCAAATTTATCTGTTGCACATAATCTGATTCCGCATATATTCCATATTCAAAAATATTTTGTTTGAAATGTTTTCCAAACAGTCAATTTTCGGTCTTGACCATCTCTGGGGAATATCATTATCATACTTCATTTGATCTGGTGATTTATTGCATGGATTTTATTTTATGATACAATTGGTATTTTAAATGAGGCATAATTGTATATTATTTTATGGATCCACATGAAAAAAGTATATCTACCTTCACATAAGATATGCTCATTCCGTGTTTACAAAAAACAGTAGTTCAAATTTTATGCGGCTATCTGTGATGTTCCCATTGTTCCATTTCCATAAGGTAGTTGACTGTAATTTGTCAATCATAACAGCCTTGTTCGCATGATATGTTTATCATTTTAGAGCTTCAATCTAAAACATATAAATTTCTTAAATCCTGTTAGACTATAAACTAAATTTCTGGAAAAAATAACCTTATGTAGGATGCAACCTCATGTATTTAGTGTATCGAATTAATTTAGATGTTTACTAACTTACATATATTATAATACATATAAACATCGATCTGGGGTAATATAAGTTGATTCCTGACTTAATATTCTAAATATTGTTGGTAATGCCTATTAAAAAATTCAGTTTTTGGTGTGTTTTCAGAAATGTTGCTTTGGTTCGACTTTTATCGATTCTAATTTATAGAATATTTTATTAATTATTGTATAATTTTCAGGCAACTAAGCTTCGAACCAAAACTAAAAACAAGACTCTTAATCCTGTGTTTGATGAAACTTTAACATACTTGGGAGTATTAGAGCATGAACTTGCTACAAGACAATTGCTGCTAACAGTGCTGGATGAGGACAGGTTAAGCTTTATGTTTTTTGCATATATCCCTTTAACTAAAACTGAGATATGTATCCAGGTATCAGAATTCACTGTGTGTGACACTTTAGCATTTCGTATCAAATAATGTATCTCCATCTTTATTAGCGTGAGCTGCAGATGTATTTTGTGCATATTCTATATATGGTAGTTTAAAAGAAGATTGGCAATTATTGTTAAATTTACTTCAGGCAATAAATTTTGGGCGCCCCAGAAGTACCTCCAATATGGAGGTAACTAATTTTGTTCTCCTACTTTACATCAAGTTGTGTAAAGGGACTGAAGCCTATGGGCAGGGGGTATATTCACTTGGCTAACAAAGACAGTCCCCGAATTCGTAATAGAACTAAAATAAAAAAAATCGGAATAATTCCATGGCTTAACCCTAACCTGCCGGAGTACCAAATTTTAAGTATTGTTACACTGTTCAGACTTTTTTATTCTACCCTGACTATTGTTTGAATCAGGTTTTTAAATTTACCAGTGTTTATGAGAACCTCCTGTTGCATTCAGGTTTGGCCATGATTTTATTGGAGAAGTAATTGTACCATTAAAAAGTGTTGTTGCTACTCAAAAGAAGACATACTCCTTGCCTCTGCGATCTTCTTATGCCGTGAGTATGGAATGGATATATATTCATTGATGTTATAAAATTAACATAGTTTTATTAGATGATTTATACCATAATACCTGGGTTGTTACCGTATAATACTTGCAAATCTGGTTTTTCGTTACGTCATTCCATAATTTCTGACCTATGCAGCTCAACCCTAGAAATTAAAATTTTAAACACTGCTTTATTTTGTACATTGAGTTTAGTGGTTCCCGAACTTTTTGTGTTATGAACGCATAAGGATTGGTTTGACTTTTTTGTCGTGAACTTACCTCAAGCGATGCCCATTAATTTTAAAAGTATAATACACACAATCTTGGTTTACCAATTAATAATCACATGCCCGCCACCTCAACCATGTTGGGGGTAGGAAATGCAGAACCCATAAGATTTTAGTTCTTCAAAAAAAAAACAGCAGCTTCTTACACTGGTGCTTGTTTGAAACGAATGGCATGAATAAGCGTTATATAAACCAAATACCTGACAAATGAATTACGTAAACTAAAAGTACCTTTCAGACTCATGGCTATTTATGGTTTATTCAGTTGAAAGAAAAAGAAAAGAATCCAATTGATCCTGGTCGACTTTATCTCGGTCTTCGTTATTATACAAATGAACATTATCTTTCTGTAAGAATTCATCGATGCACCAGTCTAGTACCAAAGAAAAACAGCAATGATAATGTGAATGCTTTTGTCAAAGCGTAAGTCTGTAGGTGGTTTTTGAATGGAAATGTAATAATTCCAGGGGATTGCCTAGTATATTTAATATCTCATTGCATTTATTTGGCAATAATTCTCAATTCAATGAATACACTGGGACATTTGATGCTACATAGACTTCAATAATCGAGATTCAATATCAAAATCTAATCTATACATATGGGTCTTGAGTGAAAATAAATCAATTAAATTCAGAGCTGAATAAGTAACTGTGGTTATCAAAATTTAATGAAATAATTTCGTTGAAATCAATTATTTCCTTCAGATCTAACATGCATTGTAGTATAATGTCACACAATCTATGTTTATAACATGTATTATAGAACATTAACCATGGATGATAATCGAGTATTCACACAAAAGACAGAAGTGAAAAAGAAAACTCAAAATCCAGTATTTGATAAAGAACTGAAGTTCAAGGTTTCACCAGAAACTGGGCAGGCTGATTTAGCTCGCGGATCGCTGTTGGTATCGGTTATGAATAAGGGCCAAGATGTTATTGGTAAGTCATCTTAGATTGCAACGTTGTTTGGATTGCAATGCCCTTTGTCTCGTAACAGTTGTTATTATGCTCCCACTACAGAGAGTGTCTGGCCTGGAGTCTATTTTTCATATTACACTCACAACACACTGGAATAGACAGTAAAAGGGTAAATTTTAAAATTAAAAAAAAATTTAATTTTAAAATTTACCTAGGGGTAAACGAGGGAATAAAGGTTGAGAAAGCCTGCTTTAAGCTAGAGCTTGATTTTTGGATTGTATGTTTGCCACAATTTATAAAACTGCAAAAAGTGGTGCCAGCTATATCATAAACAATAATTGTTAAGTTAAGAGTAGGCTAAATTTGGCGCATAGGATTCCATATTCTCCTGGAAAACTGCTAGTTGTTTTAATCATAAGGTGAACTACTGCTTTAGTCCATCAATAAATTCAAGTTTAATATTGGGATGTTCGGGTAGCTGAATTTCTAATGTGTGAAGATGGTTAGTGAAGCACACTTTGCTTAACTAGAAATGCCAAAAATCTTGCAATCTTTTTGCCAAGTTGCTTTCTCGGTCGGTGGTTATGTGGCTAACATCTTCAACATAATGTGCCAACCTGTGAAATTTATATCATATCATACACATATTGAATATGCTATTTATCCTTGTAAAAATGTATACAGTAGTGTGGATGTTATTGTTTTACATTTTGAGCTGAACTTTGTTTGCGAAGTTCATACTCTTGCAACATCTCTTCTTTTTAGGTTCAGTAGAACTCAGTATCAATAGTAAGGACGAAGCATTGAAGCAATGGTATAATTGCCTGAAGAGTAAAGATCAGCAATTCAACTCATGGCATATATTGTCTAAATGAAGCAATACAATCTATAAATTTTCATGACAAATAATCTATAGTTCAGGTCTTAATGTAAGATTTCACCAGAAGTGCCTGATTTTTTTGTTGGTATTCATTGAATTATGATGCAACGATAGCAATATATATTCATTAGCATTGACAGCATTGAATTTTTTTTATAATTTATTCAGTTTGAAAGCACTGATTTTTGATTTATCAGTTTCTTTTCTGGCCTGACACAGTATGATGTAGTTATATTCCATTCCAATATGTTTTTCTTTTTTCTAACGCAATTGTTCATTAGTGCTGCTTGCTGTCATAGCTCTAGTGCAGGTGGTCAATGCATTTTAGCGGAAAATCTTATTAAAGATTTCCAATTTGTATCTTCTTAACAAAAAAGGCAAACAACATAATAATGTTCATATAGGCATCACTCTATTCAATTTCAAATATGAGTAATATTTCGATATATATCCCACAAGGATCTGATTTCTATATGAAGCACAATGTTTTTATGTGTCTGAAAATTTTGATATCTTGTTTTTCTTTATTTTTATGCATTTTAGCAATATATGGGCACTTCAAGCTCCAGATGAATAAATGCAAGGTTTAATCATGTCTCATAGCTTTCATTTAATGTATTTGCACATATATTCATAAGTACACACTTTCATTTTATTTTTCAGCATCAATAACATTTTTGTATTCAGTTATTCATAAACGAAGGTATTAACAAATGTACTTTAGAATGACAGGTGTACAGACAGTACCATGGCAAACCAGTGTATTCTTACTGTATTTAGCATTCTTATCACTGTCTATTTAATCATCGTGTGGTTGGGAGGCTTCATTTACTTTATCATAATCTGAAAAGAAATATATCATTCCAAACAAACTACAGTAATGAGTTGCAATTGTGTGATGGGAAAAGGATAGGTGACAGCATTATGAAACACATAAAAACGGGGCTTGATATCTGAAGCTAGTGTTTTTCCCACTGTGTTCATTTTGTAATGCCAGACTGTCTAATTTTGTCTTAGTAGTGGTGTTTGGTAATCACTGTCAATCAGAACCATCCATTGGTTGCTGACATGTTTGGAAAACTGGTTCACTAGCGTTGATCAAATTAAGTAACAGGGTTCTAAACTGATACTTCCCTTTTGCATAAACGGCTTAAAGTAGTAAGTAATCAATGGCGTTGGTACTGGAGTTTGAGTTTAGTAGCTGCAGTCCCAAACCTGTTCCGTTTTGGAACTGAAGTCTTCTCAAGGGTTCCATTACATTTGAACCCATGACAATTGCACCTATGGAATTATTGTTTCACGGATAGTTAAACCCATACTAACCCATGGGTTTTAGCACCCGCATATAGATTGAACTCGTGGATATACGCATGGGTTCAAATGTACGGTCACCCTTCTCAAGCAATATAACTGCAAATCCCAATGATTCAAAAAGCTATGCATAAATGATTCCAAGCAATAGTTCTTTTATAATATTCTTTTTTTTTTTGAAAAATAGATATAAGATGAAGTGTCCACCCATGTCAAAACATTTTAAGATCAGATAATGATCGTTAATCGACAGCTGTTTCACCCAACTACTGGATGGTCCTGTATTTCAACTCATTGCAAAATATATTCACAATTGCCTTATACATATGAATATATCAGAAAATGGAATTCAAGCTCTTCTGGAGATTTTTTTTTCACTGAAACCTCCCCACGTCATCAGGTTGGTTATGCTCTTCCACAAGAGGTGTGTTCATATTTTCAAGATCGATAAATTGCTGCAATCTGAATTTTGTTGCTTGCTGTCTGGTCATTGCAGAAAGTGTGGAGAGACCACTTAAGAGTTCTATGACAATCATTAGTAACAAAATGGTATGCATAACACCTTCCATTGGTAATAGTATAACATCTGGATGAGCCAGGAGTATCAAAATTAAAACGATTTGAGGAGCGCTCAACAACAGAAATCCTGCTAATTCGGGAACCTAAAAAAATGGAATTAATGTTAATATCATAACTATTTGCTACAAATGGATCATTTGGATAGAATGCACATTGATGAAGAGCAAAATATAAATTTGGAAAATTAAGGCAACAGGCCTACTAGTATAACCTATCGAAAGTTAATGGATTTTGGGTTCAGAGCCCATGCTAACCCCATCCTTATTTGGAGCAGCGAAAATATTCCATAATGAAATACAGTCATAGCCAGGGAGCCTGAGGTGCCATGACCCCCCCAATTTTCGCTATTTTTCTCAAATGCCAATTTGCAGTAATACATAAATTCAAATGCCCTTTCCAACACCATTTTGCTCTATTCTTGAATGATTCATTGAAAACCGGATGTTTCCTGGCTTGCTATCAATAATCCTTTTACCAAATGAAGCAAACGAGATAGATGAAAATGCGTGCTCATATGCCTTTAATAACACGGGAGTGTTTCTTTGAGATATTGATATATCAGGGGCTTTTTTATCTCGGTTTGTTCGGAGCAAAAGGCACGAGGAAGCGTCGTATTACGTCATTATACGAAAAAAATTTGCCCCCTTCCAAAATTTGGGGCTGGCTACGCTATTGACCGATAGCGATGAAAATATCATAAAAGCATACAACTGAGATTCGTCTAGGCACATAAATGAAAAAAACTCTGTAAAGCAGAATCCATACTGGTGTTTAAGTACAAACCTTTTCTTGCAAGTTTCCAATGTATCCGAGATACAATCGTGCAATTTCAATTAATGTGTATAGAATCAACATAGCAATTAATATAACTTTAAATGTGCCTCCAAGATAAGAATACTTTACTCCAAGCATAACACAGTAAGTTGTGAACCAGAATGGAAAGAGATAGACATTGAAATACATTGTCATTTGAAGGGGTAGATTTGTCAGAATTTCATTTCCTGACAAAATAACAATATATATTATTAATATGGAAAATCGAAAAAAATATGTAATTTGAGAATTCAGAAAAAATCGCCTCAATAGTGAATCATTGCTTGAATAATATGGTAGTTATGTCAAATAATAACTTTGATATTGATAACTTAATACAATAAAAAAATTCCCAATGATGAAATTATTCATATTGGTAAGGATAAATGTAGAAACAGTGCTGCTATTAAGTATTGAAATCTAAATTATACAAATAAATAAATGTCTACCCTTTTTCTTTACTCAAATACCATAACTTTTGATTTAATAGTACCTGTACGTCTTTCTATAATAGGCAATTCACAACTCTTAAATTGGGTTCCATTACATTTGAACCCATGACAATTGCACCTATGGAATTTTTTTTCTTTCACGGATAGTTAAACCCATACTAACCCTAACCCATGGGTTTTAGCACCCGCATATAGATTGAACCCGTGGATATACGCATGGGTTCAAATGTACATGGGTTCAAATGTACGGTCACCCTTAAATTGATATAGGTTACCTGGTAATTGAGATGTGAAATTGTCATATTTTGAATTTCCCTGCATGAAGAGTTTGTTGGATAAGTTTGACAAAGCTTGGCGCATGTGAGGTGTCAAAACTGGTGGTCCTGATGTGACAGAAGCCATAATTAATATATTTATGAAATCAATTTCTGCAACAAGTAAGATGTTTATGGTAGTTTTATTTAAAAAAGATTCGTTATTTAAGAGGAAACACTAACCCTAAAAACATAATGGTTTTTTTATTACAAATACTTGTTTTACAGCAAAATGCTTTTGCGGCGATTTTTCATGCTCATCACAAATACTTGTTTTACAGCAAAATGCTCCTGCGGAAAATTTTATGGGCCCGGTATTCAGAGCTGTGGAGTTAGTATTAAGCCAGATTTTTTATGGTTTACAGACTTTCCACTCGATGGACGTTTTGCCACAAAGACTCTTCCGACTACAAGATGATTTAAGTTTATGGTTTTGATTGGGAGTTGTTTAAAAATATTATTTAAACATATCAGAATTGAAATACTCATAGGGTACCGGTACTCATCCATTTATGTAGACTAGGATATAAAATAGGATAAATGAATTTCACCAGGTTGTAATATAAGTATCAAAAAATGAGGACGATAAAAGTTTCACATGGAATACTGGTATACATACAGACATACACGTAAATAAAAATTAATTTCATTTTTTTACTTGAAATATGTAATTTTTGCCACTGTCTGAGCACTATCAAGATTTATCAAGTCTCATTTGTCAAGTATTCAACTTAAAAATACAACTATAGGGTCTAGTATAGTACCACAGGTACTTCCAGTGGGCGTAGCATAACGAATTTTGCATATGTTATTCCTAACCCCCACCTGACTATGCCATCCAAATATTACGTCACTACGACGTCGCCATCACGTCATAGGTCTTGCCAAAGTATAATTACGATCGCTCGAAATGACATCTGCGCCGCTGATAACGAACTCGCTAAAGCCGGCGATCTCTCAACTATAGACCCCAACTATATTTGTGTCAGCCCAGTAACAAGACTATTAATCTCAGAATCTTAAATTTGACCTAGCTCTGTTATGCCGTCACTGCGTTGGTTTGCCAGACCCACCCAGACCAGCAGACCCACAGGGCATACCGGTAACCTTCATATTTGAAAATATCCGGATACGGTATACACTGAAAGATGAGGTTGACAACTATTTATTGCGATCACTTTGGCCATACTGCACTAAAAGACATAATTATCTTTAATATAACAATATCCAAAGAAGACAATTTCCAATCCGAATTGCGTTTAAAGTGAAGTGACGTTGATGTTACTATGGTGACAAGTGTAGTCTACGACTGATTAGTCTAGAATCAGAAGTGGTGCATAAATTGCTAAAACCCACGGGTTTGAATTAGAGAAATTTACAATTTAACCTATCTTGTATATTATCATATATAACTAATATATATTATAACTGTATTATTTTGCATGCCCCAGCTTAAGCTCAATTTTGAGATTTTGCATTTTTTTTGTATCTTATACCGTAAATACGAGGTTTGGCTAAAAAGAAACGAGACTGACGTCACAGATTGCGCAACACGATTAACCATTGGTAATCAACACTTTTACAGTGTGGTGTAATATGTGTTCTTTGTTCAACAGCTTTTTTGACACAATATCGCAATTATTTTTGCTCTTTAGGAGTCGTAGGTGAATGTGATTAATTGCTTGTTGAAAAAAAAATTGCCGTGCGAGATCTGATTGAGTTTTTTGGCGATAGGGGGTTCAATTGCAGAATGACGATTGAGCAATGAATTAACATTAAATTTTGTGTCAAACTTGGAAAAACGGCGACTGCGACTTTGAAGAAATTGTGTGATGTTTATGGAGATTCTTCCATGTCCAGAACAAGAGTTTTTTGAATGGCACAAGCGATTTGTGGGATGCAGGGAGGATGTGGAGGATGATTCGAAGTCAGGAAGGCCTTGCACTTCCACAACTGATACCAACATCGAAAAGGTATCAGTTGTGAGTTCAGTTGTGAAAGGCAGTTGATTCGCAGCGACCGTCGCTCAACAATTCGCGTCATTGCGAAGTTGGAAAAGACAAAAAAAAACGGTTCGCACCAGTTTGGTTGACACTTTTGGCTTGTGAAAGGTGAGTGCCAAAATGGTGCCAAGGCTGTTGACTGAGGAGCAGAAAGCTCAACGATTAAATGTTGCCCAGTTGACATGCATTTTTCCAAGTTTGACACAAAATTTAATGTTAACTCTTTGCCCAATCGTCATTCTGCAATTGAACCCCCTATCGCCAAAAAACTCAATCAGATCTCGCACGGCAATTTTTTTTTCAACAAGCAATTAATCACATTCACCTACGACTCCTAAAGAGCAAAAATAATTGCGATATTGTGTCAAAAAAGCTGTTGAACAAAGAACACATATTACACCACACTGTAAAAGTGTTGATTACCAATGGTTAATCGTGTTGCGCAATCTGTGACGTCAGTCTCGTTTCTTTTTAGCCACACCTCGTATATACTAGGCTACTACGCTTATACACAGTTGCTCAAATTTATTTTGCTACTTTGTAGTGATCTAGTTTAATGTCTTTATATATATGCTGCCTTAAGTCTTTAACCATTTACACAAAATGTTATTATGTATTCTTCATCTTGAAATACCCGATTCCACACAATTGATGCTCCATTTACTCAAAAATACATATTGATGTCAATTATGACCAATACCACACTTGATCAAGTGTGTAACTTGTCCGAAATTTTATTTAGCTTTAAACGCTTATATGTAATTGCCTGTTGTGTATATGTAACTATTTTTTTTCTTTCCTTACGTTGTTTCTGAACACACCTGAAATATGTTAAATCATATCTGAAGCATTTTTTATTCATGTCTATTGATATTAATATTGGGTGGTAACTGACTCCGATGCCCGTATCGTTGCCACCAAGTCTGTACCGAAAACTGTTTTGCTTTTTATTAATTATGTCTATGTTGTGTACATGTTTTCTAGTGGACAAAACAAATAAACTCTCTCCCTCTCTCTCTCCCTCCCTCTGTTACCAACAAAAATCAACGGAAAGTGTAATTTGCAGTGTTCCATATATTATATAATCAGTTTTATTTATTTTGTTTTTATCAATTATTTTATCGTCTTTTATGCTGATTATGGAGTCGAAATAAACTTATACTTATTTCCATACGTGTATAAAAGTAAAACATCATGCAATACAGGCAATAAACGATGCGTTCCTTCCTAAAAACTTTATTCTTCAAATTATTATGTTAATAAATATTATTAATCAAAAATTGGTAAAAGTTAAGCTCTGAGCCAGGGGTCACCAAACTGGGGTACACGTATGGTAGCCTACCCCGAGAGGTACTTTTCGACGTTTCAATGGGTATATTTGAACAACGTTCTACGTGGCAGTTTGAGCGACGATCACAGTGTAGGCCTAGTTTTCCGGGGTAAATGTTTTTTAAACGTGTATATGAGTTTCGTGAAGAATTTCAGGGATTTTTTCAGCAACTAAACAAATGAAAAAATATTGTCAATTCCTTAAAGTATGATTTTTTTATTTTGATTCTAAACTCAAGCATTGTTGTTGTTTCCATCAACTTGATTGTGTGAGTCGGCATTTTTAGTGCTGCTCAAAATGCATATCACAGTTCAAAGCACCTGAACGTGATTTTAGTAATGAGCTCGCCCATCACATTAGGATATGATTTACATATTTATCCCAGGTGAGAGGGAAGCCAATAAGACAGCTCAATCATATGGAGAACCACGACCACTCCTCCGGTTACCAGACATATTGTTACTTTGATTGTAGTGTTTGTTAAGCTTGGGATTACATTATTATGAATAACTTTAGCGCAAATTTATCATCATATTGAACTGAAATAATCAATTTTATAGATTCAACAAATTAAAAGGTAATATAATGGGTTGCCTAGATATAGAAAATAAGTTGTGCATCAGAGCAATTTGAGGAGAGCGGTCAAAACTTTTGGGGGTACGCGAGCGATCTATAAATTGTCCAAAGAGTTTAAGCTGTAATGAAACCTCATGGTCCCAGCTAACAAGACGTCATAATAGCAGTTTTTTGTCAAGAGCTTCACTGCAGTGCAATTTTCTACTACTGTATTTACTAAGTTTAGTTGAGTATTTTCTGCGAATGAAATTGTTTTACGACGCTCTTGGAAAATTAAACGACTCATTCAGGCGTTTGAGTACCACGGACATACACGTACGCGTATATTCAATCCAATTAAAATTTTGTTTTAACGTTCTTTAATATTCTTCACTTTTCCTTAATTTTAGGGTGTGCTTTGCGTCTCTCTTGTTATTTGAACATTCACTTTATTCGAAAACAATCTTCGTAACCAATGACGATTGTTGACAATTTGGAATCCCAGCGCACTGGGCAGCGATTTACCTCCGTCTGTTGTGAATTTCGTTTGCCAAGTTTCCACACTAAATTTTCCCCAGAAATCGTTGAATGACTATTGGATATTCTTCTAAATTCTTCTCTGCTCCAGTCATAAAAGGATGACGAAGTGCTTCTTCAGGTGTGATGCGTAGGTTAGGGTCCCATCTGTACGTGAAGTTTATAAATCACCAAGTGCTTAGATCCTAAACTTGATTTTAGGATGTCGCCATAACATAGTGGCGGTTTCATGGATAAGTACGCACGGAAAAACACCCAAGAAAGGTGTAGTCTGATGTATGAGATGACTAGACATACACACAACGTTTTAAGTGATTTTCAACAAAACTTACTCGAGGCATCTGCAAATCAGGTCAATTAGCACTAAGTCCATTCCTTCCAAAACTTTCAACAACGGTCTACTGTAAGGCTTTCGATGTGTCCCTTTCTCGTGAATTTTGTGACGAAAGGCATCTAGACAAACATATGAATATAACAAAGATGAAAATTCAAAAGAATTAATTAGTTAGCAATGTAGGTTGCAAAATCCCTGATGCAACAAGGAATAAGGCTGTGGGCAAAGTAATGGGATCCAGCGTTTATCCCTGTATCGAATCGTTGAAACTGTTTTATTTTTATCATATATACTTCGTATAAACAAGTGAGCAATGCTCAGATATATTCACACGAAAGCAAAACGAAGTAG